TCCGCAGCAGCCCTCCTCCGGGTCCCTCCTCCCTGCACGGCCACAGGGGAGGGGCGTGATTGAGCGTCGGCGTTGACCCCACACCCCTACCCGCCACCTGCAACGCACACACACAGAGCTAGTCAGAGCGCGGTGGTGGGAGCAAGTTGAATGGGAGACTGTGACTTGAAATCCAGTGCAAGAGAAGGGAGGAGCCACTGGTGGAGGCACAGCCACAAGATGCAGACCCAACGGCACCTGAAAAAAAACCTGAGGGGTGTACCTGCACCTGATGGAATTACCGGAAGAGTGGGGGTCTGTAGCATGAAAGCAGTACTCAACCAGTGGCGTTGTTTCAAGAAGACGGTGCAACAGCAGATGAAACAAACAAAACGATGCTGCAGGCAAGGGTGCAGGCATGGGGAAACGGGTACTTAGCTGATCGTGTGGTGCAGGCGAAGAAGGGCTGCTTCAATGGAGAGTGGGCAGGGCGAGCGGGGCTTGAAGGGACGGACCTGCGAGGCAGAGAAGGGAGAAGGGAGAGAGAGAATAGAGAGATAGTAAGAGGCCGGTGAAAGGAGTGACTCTTTTAAACGAGATGACACTGACTGGCAGCAGTGCGAGTGCAAAACCGACGGTGCATGTGACGCCAACCACAACCCCACAAGAGCCGCTACCAACCTGAACCTGCACCTGAACCTGCACCTGAACCTGAACCTGAGGGGGAGTGGGCTCAAGTGGAGTGTGGTGACAGGGCGATACTGCAACCTTGACCGTTGATGAGGCCAGCGCTGCTGCCCCGCTGCCCGCGCTTCCGCTGCCCGCCTTGGTGCTCCCCTCGCCTGCTGCTCGCCTGCTGCCCTCCCCTTGGCTTGTGGCGGCCTGGCAGAGAAGGGAGGGCAGGGAGGGCAGGGCGGAAAGAAATGAGATGAAAATAAGAGGGGTTGCAGTGGAGAAAAGTGTCGGACACAAGTGCATCAACAGAAACGACAGTGCATGTGATGCCAACCACAGCCCCACAAGAGCCGCTACCAACCTGAACCTGCACCTGAACCTGAACCTGAGGGGGAGTGGGCTCAAGTGGAGTGTGGTGGCGTGGCGATACTGCAACCTTGACCGTTGATGAGGCCGGCGCTGCTGCCCCGCTGCCCGCATTCCCGCTTCCCGCCTTGGTGCAGTGGGGAAAGCAGTGAGGAAAGAAGCGATGACAAGTGAGGAGAGTGAGAACGAAGAGTGGAGAAAGTGCAAGAATGATGCGTGCATGAATGGACTGCTGCAGTGGCACACCCAAGAGACCTCGTACCAGCTGAAACAGAGTCAAACGAATACCTGAGGCTGTACCAAAGTTTTGAACCTGCTACCTTGGGGAGGGAGGTCTCTTGAGTGTGACAGAGAGCAGTAACAAAGGGGGATTGATGCATGGTGCAAGAAAGCATTGAAAAGCAGCAAAGGAGCGAGGTTTGGAAGAAGATAGGCAGGGCGGGTACTTAGCTTTCCGTGGGTTGGTTGGAGAGCCGCTGCTGCCTGTGCACTCCAGGCCCCCCGCCACTGCCTCTCCCGTGTGAGCCACCTTCTGAGACAAGAGGGGGAAGACCAGGACAGAGAGAAGGGAGGAGGGAGAGGAGAGGGCGGGGGTGTGAAGGGGGAGCACAGGAGTGGGGAAGGCAGTGAGAAGCAAAGGCAAGTGAGTAAAGTGAGACCGAAGAGTGGAGAAAGTGCAGGAATGATGCGTGCAAGAATGGACTGCTGCAGCGGCACACCCAAGAGACCTCGTACCGGCTGAACTAGAATCACAGTATACCTGAGGCTGTACCAAAGTTTTGAACCTGCTACCTTGGGGGAGTGAGGTCTCTTGAGCGTGACAGAGAGCAGTAAAGATGGTACTGTGATGCATGGTGCACGCAATGCAAGAAAAGCAACACAATTGCGAAGGTTGGGAGGAGAGAGCCTGGGTAGGGTACTTAGCTGTGCGGGAGTTGGGTGGAGAGCAGCTGCTGCCTGTGCACTCCATGTCCCCCGCCACTGCCACTCCCGTGTGAGCGACCTGCTGGGACGAGAGGAGTAAGACCAGGACAGAGAGAAGGGAGAAGCACAGGAGAGGGCGGGGGAGTGAAGGAGGAGCACAGGAGTGGGGAAGGCAGTGAGGAAAGCAGAGACAAGTGAGAAAAGTGAGAACGAAGAGTGGAGGCAGGAATTATGTGTGCATGAATGGACTGCTGCAGTGGCACACCCAAGAGACCTCGTAACCAGAATCAAAGTATACCTGAGGCTGTACCAAAGTTTTGAACCTGCTACCTTGGGGGAGTGAGGTCTCTTGAGTGTGACAGAGAGCAGTAAAGATGGGACTGTGATGGATGGTGCAAGCAATACAAGAAAAGCAGCACAATTGCGACGGTTGGTAGCAGAGAGGCAGGGTAGGGTACTTAGCTGTGCGGGAATTGGGTGGAGAGCAGCTGCTGCTTGTGCAATCCATGTCCCCCCCAATGCCACCCTTGTGCAAGAGACCTGCTGAGACGAGAGGGGTAAGATCAGAGCAGAGAGAAGGGACGGGAGAGGAAGGGGGAGCAGAGGAGTGGGTAAGGCAGTGAGGAAAGAAGCAAAGAAAAGTGAGTAAAGTGAGAACGAAGAGTGGAGAAATTGCAGGAATGATGTGGACATGAAAGGACTGCCGCCGTGGCACACTCAAGAGACCTCGTACCGGCTGAACCATAACAAAAAGAATACCTGAGGCTGTACCAAAGTTTTGAACCTGCTATCTTGGGAAGGGAGGTCTCTTGAGTGTGACAGAGAGCAGGGAGCATGATGATGCAAGCAAGACATGACAAGCAGCACGCGTGCGACGGGTATGATGAGAAGAGGGGTACTTAGCTATGGTTGGGTTGGGAGGGAGAGCAGCTGCTGCCTGTGTATCCCACGTCCTCCCGTTAGTTGACGTTGCTGACGTCCATGACAGGAGGCACAGCCACAGCAGATATTGCCTTCTGCTGCGCTCACCCACAGCAGCACGCCAAGCGATGCTCCCTGCAAGTGAAACAAACGCAAACCGAGAGAGAGCTGAGAAAATGCTCAAGGAAAATCGAAACGGCAGCTCGGAGAAACACGCCAAACGCTGATTAAATATCGCTGATGAAAGCTTCACGGCAAAACCTACCAGCAAGGTTAATGACGGCCACTGACGGCTACGCAAGGAAGAAGTTAACGCGGCGGCGATGGCTAAATCGAAACGGACGGCGGAAGACGTTGCCGCCGGCGAAATCGTTATTGCTGACAGCGAGGAAGTCGCTGGTAGTGGCGCGGCTGACGGCGGAAACTGCTGCTGACGGAAAAAAGCGTTGTTGACGGCGAAAATCGCTGCTAACATGAAATTGTCTGGCGTCGCAAATCGCTGGCCAACTGATATCGTCGTTTGCGGCAAAATCTTTAACTACTGGACGTAGAAATCGCTGCTGGTGCCGATTACTGCTGCTAACGGCGGAGATGCTGCTTGCAGCGAGGCTCGCTGATCGCGTCGGAAATCGTTCGCAAGCTCGTATCATTCATAGATGCCAGATCATGCGAATAGCGAAAATCTCTGCTGAATCCCGAAATAACGACTGACGGCGGATTTCAAACGCTTGAAAATTATGCAAACGAGACGACGTTGAGGCGTAGGTTTCGTATGAATGGGAGCTGAATGCTTCAAGCAAAGCGCAAAGGAAGGAATACTCAAGCCGTTGAGGCGAGACTGAGAATGTGCGATGAGAAACCAGTTCAGGATCAGGAGCTTCCCCTGCATGAGTAGGGAAATTGGAGTGAGATGCTGCTCCTACAAGTGTTGCAGCTGCCCTCCCCATGATCCAAAATTTGACAAAAAAAACAGATGTTGCCTCGGTTAAGATGGATATGGGATGGTTTAGTTGTGCAGTGGTATCTGGTTTCTTCCTGTTTCCGCAGGGACCCCACAGCAATGGTTCAGCACAGCTGATTTTCCCAACCAATCCCAAGGCGGGCCACGAGGCTGCGGGAGAAGCCCCGCCGACCGACAAGATTCGCGCCAATGTTTTCCGCCGCGTTGATAATATGTATTGGACAAATGGAGTGGCATGCTGCGGAGGACAGCGCACAAAAGATTTTGAGACAACGAAAAGCACCGGCGACGAAATGATACTTTCGCGATTGCTTTCGCAAAATGTATAACCTGTGTACGACAGTTTCCGGGAGAATCGCGAGCGTCTCTGTTTCCAGTGGGCTCAACGGTTCTCGCTCGCATATGCGCGGGTTGTTGGATGCGCTTCCCAAAAAACGACTGACACATCTCTCTTATGTCCGCAGATTGGGGGTGTTCGAGAAGCGCATGCTCTGAACGCGGAGCTCTTGCTCGAACGGATAGGCTGCGGGAGGCGGACATTGAGTGGATTGCGGACACAATTATCAGTTCCGATCGGGCTTCGACAGCATCCTGCTGATCATCCCCGTGATCCAACGGACGAAATGATTCCAAAGGAGAAAATCAGCACCAATTTCAGCAAGGCTAATAGTGTTCTTCGGTAAGGGCATCGTTCTCTACAGATATTAAAATTCTCAAAGTATATTGCTTACATTTCAAATGACAAATGAAGTGCACCCCATTCATGACAAATGATGATTCATATTCTCTCAACACATTTCACAATCTTGTAATTTTTTTCCATTGTTTTCATCCCAATATGAACTCCATCTGGTTATCACCAATAAGAAGAAATGACAGAACCCCAGAGAACTGTGTAGTTGAGTTGCTTTTGTCTGACATAGGAGAGGGATGTTGTATGAAAGGGAAGGGCTGTTCAAAATGTAAAGTGGGGGAAAAACATGCAAAAGGTGTTGTCAGGAATGGGATTCGAACCCATGCCCTTTCGGACCAGTACCTGAAACTGGCGCCTTAGACCAACTCGGCCATCCTGAACATGTCACCTAGGGAATACTGGTTTACTTCACAGCGTTTATGATGCACAGATTTTCTGCTTTGTGATTATTAAAAAGCACAATTGCCAAGTTTAGTGACTATGGCTCCCAGCGATGAGCTCGAGGCTTTACGGCAAGCCGTCGTGGCGAAACAAGAGGAGGTTACCACGCAAGGCGACACCGTGCGAGCCCTTAAAGCCGCGAAGGCCGACCGCGCCGAGATCGACGCGGCGATCGAGAAGCTCAAGCACTTAAAGCTAGACCTGGAGTCGGCGACTAAGGCATTCACGGCGAAATCAGAGGCGGAGGGAGGCGGGAAGGGCAAGGATGCGAGCATCAATCGGGAGGCGTTTCGGCAGGCCGTGAACAACGCGTTGGAGCGGCGGCTGTTCATCATTCCGAGCTTCAAGATCTATGGCGGCGTGGCTGGGCTATTCGACTATGGTCCGCCTGGCTGCGCCGTCAAGTCGAATGTGCTCGCATTCTGGCGCCAGGTGTGGCCTGAGACAGGTTTGATCTGAGACAGTACGATTTAAGAGGTGGGATCTGAGACAGGTGTTACCTGCGAGGGGTGATTTGAGGCGGTTGCGACCTGCGAGGGGTGACCTGAGACAGGTGCGATTCGGCACTGATGCGATCTACTTAAAATGGTCTTCTTCCAAATGAGCACGTTAACCGACCGCGACTCACGGCTGATCTCGCGTGACTGATCTTTCTTTCATGAATGATGAACGATCTAGTTAATATGGTTGTTGACGACGCCTTCTTTCGTGCTGCGCGTGTCAATCCGCGCCTGACGCATGTCTGGCATGTATCAGACATAAACCCTCAACCGCGCTGTCACTTTCATGCGTACCTTTCCAGCGTCCCCTCCACGCCTGTCGTCGACGCCGACAATCTCTCCTCGCCGTTATCCGTCCACTTTACTCACAACCCTTCCGCCAACTTCCCCTCCTCTCTCCCCCCTCCTCTGGCAGCACTTCGTGCTAGAAGAGAACATGCTGGAGGTCGACTGCCCGTGCGTCACGCCCGACGCAGTCCTGCGCGCGTCAGGCCACGTGGATAAATTCACGGACCTCATGGTGAAGGACGTGAAGACCCAGGCGTGCTACCGCGCGGACCATCTGCTCAAAGACCACCTGGGGGAGCTGCTAGAGAAGGAGGTGACGATAGCTCCTGAGCGGCGCGAGGAGATCAAGCACGTGCTGGCCGTGCTGGACGAGTACGGTGCAGAGGAGTTGGACGGCAAGTTGAAGGAGTTCGGGGTGAAGGCGCCGGATACCAAGAATGACCTGTCTGCGCCGTACCCCTTCAACCTCATGTTCTCCACTGCTATTGGCCCCACGGGGCTGCTGCACGGGTGAGTGAGATGAGAGGCTGAAAGGGTTGGGGGATACGGGAGCTTCTAGAGAAAGAGGTGAATATGGCAGGACTTGAAGACATTGTCCCAAACCCATTCTATCTCTGCCTCACATCCGTGTCCTTCTCCCTTGCCCCTCCTTACCAGCTACCTGCGCCCCGAGACAGCGCAGGGCATATTCGTCAACTTCAAGGACCTGCTGTACTACAACGGCGGCAAGCTGCCCTTCGCTGCTGCTCAGATCGGCCAGGCCTTCCGCAACGAGGTAATGCTTGGGTACTGCTTGGGTGATCTGAGCAGCAGCGAAGGGCGAGGAAGGGTACTGCTTGGGTGCTGCTGGGGTGCTTGTGTTTTGTGGTGTGCTGGTGGAGAGGCTCTGCCCTTCGCTGCTGCTCAGATCGGCCACCCGCCAATTCAACCCCCTTGCACACCAATCTTTCTTGTGCCACGTGTTCCCATCCCCCTGCCCAGATCGCTCCTCGAGCAGGGCTGCTGCGAGTGCGTGAGTTCACGCTAGCGGAGATCGAGCACTTTGTGAGCCCCACCGACAAGTCCCACCCGCGCTTCCCCTCTGTGGCCGACCTCTCCTTCCTGCTCTACCCGCGCGCCGAGCAGCTGGGACCCAAACAGCCCGTCACCATGCGGCTGGGCGATGCCGTGGAGAAGGTGAGGAAGCAGAGACTGTAAGGATGGATGGGTCCTCTGGTCTGGCATGTGATGAGCGCCCCACGGTCGAGTCCCACCTACCTACGGCTCACCTGTGGCCGACCTGTCCTTCCTGCTCGACCTCTTTGTATTGCGCCTCATTTTCCCTCTCACACCAGACTCGCAACGTCCAGCCCCCTATCCTCAATTCCCAACTCCCCAACCCCCGCCACCCACCCTATCACAGGGCACAATCAACAACGAGACTTTGGGCTACTTCATCGGGTGCACGTTCCTCTTCCTCTCCCGCCTGGGCATCCACCCGCAGCACCTGAAGTTTCCCCCTCACTTTCCCCACTCCAAAACCCCATTCCACCCCCCTTGTTTGACAGGGCATAATCAACAACGAGACGCTTGGGTACTTCGTCGGGCGCACGTTTCTCTTCCTCTCGCGCCTGGGCATCGACCCGCAGCGCCTGATGTTTCACCCTGACTCTCTCTACTCTCTAACCCGTATTTCACCCACCCTATAACAGGGCATAATCAACAACGAGACTCTCGGCTACTTCATCGGGCGCACGTTCCTCTTCCTCTCCCGCCTGGGCATCGACCCGCAGCGCCTGCGCTTCCGCCAGCACCTGCAGCACGAGATGGCGCACTATGCTACTGACTGCTGGGATGCTGAGATCGAGTGCTCCTACGGCTGGGTGGAGTGTGTCGGCCTGGCTGATAGGTCTGCGTTCGATCTCAAGGCTCACACGGTGAGTGGGGTTGTAGCACCTGCCAGCAGCACCTGCAGCATGAGATGGCGCACTATGCCACGGACTGCTGGGATGCTGAGATCGAGTGCTCCTATGGATGGGTGGAGTGCGTTGGGCTGGCCGATAGGTCGGCGTTTGACCTCAAGGCACACACGGTGAGCTTGCATGGCGTGTTGATTGCACAGGTGTGTTTGTTGGTGGACCACAGTAGGGGAGTAGCACCTTGCGAAACTTGTAACACAGTAGGGGAGTAGCACCTTGCGAAACTTGTAACACAGTAGGGGAGTAGCACCTTGCGAAACTTGTAACACAGTAGGGGAGTAGCACCTTGCGAAACTTGTAACACAGTAGGGGAGTAGCACCTTGCGAAACTTGTAACACAGTAGGGGAGTAGCACCTTGCGAAACTTGTAACACAGTAGGGGAGTAGCACCTTGCGAAACTTGTAACACAGTAGGGGAGTAGCACCTTGCGAAACTTGTAACACAGTAGGGGAGTAGCACCTTGCGAAACTTGTAACACAGTAGGGGAGTAGCACCTTGCGAAACTTGTAACACAGTAGGGGAGTAGCACCTTGCGAAACTTGTAACACAGTAGGGGAGTAGCACCTTGCGAAACTTGTAACACAGTAGGGGAGTAGCACCTTGCGAAACTTGTAACACAGTAGGGGAGTAGCACCTTGCGAAACTTGTAACACAGTAGGGGAGTAGCACCTTGCGAAACTTGTAACACAGTAGGGGAGTAGCACCTTGCGAAACTTGTAACACAGTAGGGGAGTAGCACCTTGCGAAACTTGTAACACAGTAGGGGAGTAGCACCTTGCGAAACTTGTAACACAGTAGGGGAGTAGCACCTTGCGAAACTTGTAACACAGTAGGGGAGTAGCACCTTGCGAAACTTGTAACACAGTAGGGGAGTAGCAACTTGCGAAACTTGTAACACAGTAGGGGAGTAGCACCTTGCGAAACTTGTAACACAGTAGGGGAGTAGCACCTTGCGAAACTTGTAACACAGTAGGGGAGTAGCACCTTGCGAAACTTGTAACACAGTAGGGGAGTAGCACCTTGCGAAACTTGTAACACAGTAGGGGAGTAGCACCTTGCGAAACTTGTAACACAGTAGGGGAGTAGCACCTTGCGAAACTTGTAACACAGTAGGGGAGTAGCACCTTGCGAAACTTGTAACACAGTAGGGGAGTAGCACCTTGCGAAACTTGTAACACAGTAGGGGAGTAGCACCTTGCGAAACTTGTAACACAGTAGGGGAGTAGCACCTTGCGAAACTTGTAACACAGTAGGGGAGTAGCACCTTGCGAAACTTGTAACACAGTAGGGGAGTAGCACCTTGCGAAACTTGTAACACAGTAGGGGAGTAGCACCTTGCGAAACTTGTAACACAGTAGGGGAGTAGCACCTTGCGAAACTTGTAACACAGTAGGGGAGTAGCAACTTGCGAAACTTGTAACACAGTAGGGGAGTAGCACCTTGCGAAACTTGTAACACAGTAGGGGAGTAGCACCTTGCGAAACTTGTAACACAGTAGGGGAGTAGCACCTTGCGAAACTTGTAACACAGTAGGGGAGTAGCACCTTGCGAAACTTGTAACACAGTAGGGGAGTAGCACCTTGCGAAACTTGTAACACAGTAGGGGAGTAGCACCTTGCGAAACTTGTAACACAGTAGGGGAGTAGCACCTTGCGAAACTTGTAACACAGTAGGGGAGTAGCACCTTGCGAAACTTGTAACACAGTAGGGGAGTAGCACCTTGCGAAACTTGTAACACAGTAGGGGAGTAGCACCTTGCGAAACTTGTAACACAGTAGGGGAGTAGCACCTTGCGAAACTTGTAACACAGTAGGGGAGTAGCACCTTGCGAAACTTGTAACACAGTAGGGGAGTAGCACCTTGCGAAACTTGTAACACAGTAGGGGAGTAGCACCTTGCGAAACTTGTAACACAGTAGGGGAGTAGCACCTTGCGAAACTTGTAACACAGTAGGGGAGTAGCACCTTGCAAAACTTGTAACACAGTAGGGGAGTAGCACCTTGCGAAACTTGTAACACAGTAGGGGAGTAGCACCTTGCGAAACGTGTAACACAGTAGGGGAGTAGCACCTTGCGAAACTTGTAACACAGTAGGGGAGTAGCACCTTGCGAAACTTGTAACACAGTAGGGGAGTAGCACCTTGCGAAACTTGTAACACAGTAGGGGAGTAGCACCTTGCGAAACTTGTAACACAGTAGGGGAGTAGCACCTTGCGAAACTTGTAACACAGTAGGGGAGTAGCACCTTGCGAAACTTGTAACACAGTAGGGGAGTAGCACCTTGCGAAACTTGTAACACAGTAGGGGAGTAGCACCTTGCGAAACTTGTAACACAGTAGGGGAGTAGCACCTTGCGAAACTTGTAACACAGTAGGGGAGTAGCACCTTGCGAAACTTGTAACACAGTAGGGGAGTAGCACCTTGCGAAACTTGTAACACAGTAGGGGAGTAGCACCTTGCGAAACTTGTAACACAGTAGGGGAGTAGCACCTTGCGAAACTTGTAACACAGTAGGGGAGTAGCACCTTGCGAAACTTGTAACACAGTAGGGGAGTAGCACCTTGCGAAACTTGTAACACAGTAGGGGAGTAGCACCTTGCGAAACTTGTAACACAGTAGGGGAGTAGCACCTTGCGAAACTTGTAACACAGTAGGGGAGTAGCACCTTGCGAAACTTGTAACACAGTAGGGGAGTAGCACCTTGCGAAACTTGTAACACAGTAGGGGAGTAGCACCTTGCGAAACTTGTAACACAGTAGGGGAGTAGCACCTTGCGAAACTTGTAACACAGTAGGGGAGTAGCACCTTGCGAAACTTGTAACACAGTAGGGGAGTAGCACCTTGCGAAACTTGTAACACAGTAGGGGAGTAGCACCTTGCGAAACTTGTAACACAGTAGGGGAGTAGCACCTTGCGAAACTTGTAACACAGTAGGGGAGTAGCACCTTGCGAAACTTGTAACACAGTAGGGGAGTAGCACCTTGCGAAACTTGTAACACAGTAGGGGAGTAGCACCTTGCGAAACTTGTAACACAGTAGGGGAGTAGCACCTTGCGAAACTTGTAACACAGTAGGGGAGTAGCACCTTGCGAAACTTGTAACACAGTAGGGGAGTAGCACCTTGCGAAACTTGTAACACAGTAGGGGAGTAGCACCTTGCGAAACTTGTAACACAGTAGGGGAGTAGCACCTTGCGAAACTTGTAACACAGTAGGGGAGTAGCACCTTGCGAAACTTGTAACACAGTAGGGGAGTAGCACCTTGCGAAACTTGTAACACAGTAGGGGAGTAGCACCTTGCGAAACTTGTAACACAGTAGGGGAGTAGCACCTTGCGAAACTTGTAACACAGTAGGGGAGTAGCACCTTGCGAAACTTGTAACACAGTAGGGGAGTAGCACCTTGCGAAACTTGTAGCACAGTAGGGGAGTAGCACCTTGCGAAACTTGTAACACAGTAGGGGAGTAGCACCTTGCGAAACTTGTAACACAGTAGGGGAGTAGCACCTTGCGAAACTTGTAACACAGTAGGGGAGTAGCACCTTGCGAAACTTGTAACACAGTAGGGGAGTAGCACCTTGCGAAACTTGTAACACAGTAGGGGAGTAGCACCTTGCGAAACTTGTAACACAGTAGGGGAGTAGCACCTTGCGAAACTTGTAACACAGTAGGGGAGTAGCACCTTGCGAAACTTGTAACACAGTAGGGGAGTAGCACCTTGCGAAACTTGTAACACAGTAGGGGAGTAGCACCTTGCGAAACTTGTAACACAGTAGGGGAGTAGCACCTTGCGAAACTTGTAGCACAGTAGGGGAGTAGCACCTTGCGAAACTTGTAACACAGTAGGGGAGTAGCACCTTGCGAAACTTGTAACACAGTAGGGGAGTAGCACCTTGCGAAACTTGTAACACAGTAGGGGAGTAGCACCTTGCGAAACTTGTAACACAGTAGGGGAGTAGCACCTTGCGAAACTTGTAACACAGTAGGGGAGTAGCACCTTGCGAAACTTGTAACACAGTAGGGGAGTAGCACCTTGCGAAACTTGTAACACAGTAGGGGAGTAGCACCTTGCGAAACTTGTAACACAGTAGGGGAGTAGCACCTTGCGAAACTTGTAACACAGTAGGGGAGTAGCACCTTGCGAAACTTGTAACACAGTAGGGGAGTAGCACCTTGCGAAACTTGTAACACAGTAGGGGAGTAGCACCTTGCGAAACTTGTAACACAGTAGGGGCCACGCGAGGTGGAGGTGAAAGTTGCTTGCACCATTTCCGCCCTCTCCCTCCCAACCTCCCTCTGCTCTTCCCCCATGCTCTCACCAACAGGAGAAGAGCAAGGTGGAGCTGGTGGCGTATGAGAAGTTCCCCGAGCCTCGCGAGGTGGAGGTGATGAGCATAGTGCCCAGCAAGAAGGACATCGGCAAGGCCTTCAAGCGCGACGCCAAGCTCATTGCTGAGTCCCTTGAGGCAATGACAGAGGCAGAGGCGCTGGCGATGAAGGCACCCTCCCGCTCCCAACCCCACTTGCTCTTCCCCCGTGCTCTCACCAACAGGAGAAGAGCAAGGTGGAGCTGGTGGCGTATGAGAAGTTCCCCGAGCCTCGCGAGGTGGAGGTGAAATATGCCAGTCTCCACTGCCCATCCTCACTTTCCTCCTTCCCCCTGCCACTGACTCACGCCAACAGGAGAAGAGCAAGGTGGAGCTGGTGGCGTATGAGAAGTTCCCCGAGCCTCGCGAGGTGGAGGTGAAATATGCCAGTCTCCACTGCCCATCCTCACTTTCCTCCTTCCCCCTGCCACTGACTCACGCCAACAGGAGAAGAGCAAGGTGGAGCTGGTGGCGTATGAGAAGTTCCCCGAGCCTCGCGAGGTGGAGGTGAAATATGCCAGTCTCCACCGCCCATCCTCACTTTCCTCCTTCCCCCTGCCACTGACTCACGCCAACAGGAGAAGAGCAAGGTGGAGCTGGTGGCGTATGAGAAGCTCCCCGAGCCTCGCGAGGTGGAGGTGAAATATGCCAGTCTCCACTGCCCATACTCACTTTCCTCCTTCCCCCTGCCACTGACTCACGCCAACAGGAGAAGAGCAAGGTGGAGCTGGTGGCGTATGAGAAGTTCCCCGAGCCTCGCGAGGTGGAGGTGATGAGCATAGTGCCCAGCAAGAAGGACATCGGCAAGGCCTTCAAGCGCGATGCCAAGCTCATCGCCGAGTCCCTTGAGGCAATGACCGAGGCAGAGGCGCTGGCGATGAAGGCAGCGCTGGAGGCGGAAGGCAAGGTGGAGTACACGCCGTGTGGGGGCACCCAGGCGTTCAGCCTCACCAAGGAGATGGTTGCTATCAGCAAGGAGAAGAAGAAGCTGCAGGTGGGGTGGGGTGAAGGGAGTGCTTAGGAAATGGCTGATTGAGTGCAACTTGTGAACGTTATTTCCAAGTGTTCCTCGCATGCAGCTCTCTTCCATTATCCGATCTTACTTTGTACCCCTGCGTCACCACAAACCCATCCCTCTCTTCCTCCCCACCCCCCCCTTCAACTCCCCCTCTTCCTCCCTATCCCCCACCTCACCCCCTCTCAACCCTCTTCTCCTCTCTCCCCCCCTCAGGGCCAATCCTTCACCCCATCCGTGATCGAGCCATCATTCGGCATCGGCCGAATCATCTACTGCATCTACGAGCACAGCTTCTACTCCCGCCCCTCCGCGGACGAGGCGCGCACCGTGTTCCGCTTCACGCCGCTGGTGGCGCCCATCAAGTGCACCGTCTTCCCACTCGTGCAGCGCGGGGACCTTGAGAAGGTGGCGCAGGAGGCGAGTGCAGGGCTGACCAAGGCGGGCGTGGCGAATAAGATTGACACCACGGGGACGACGATTGGGAAGAGATACGCGAGGACGGATGAGCTGGGGTGCCCGTTTGCGATCACCGTAGATGGGCAGGTGAGGAGGGTGGAGGGAAGGCTGGGGTGATCTGATCGGTTGAGCGGAATAGGGGTATTGCTTCCATCCTCTCTTCCTCGTCTCCTCAACTTTCCATTGGTTTGGGTTTTGTCTCGCGGCTCTTTTCGTTCTCTTCTTATTCTCCCCCATGTCTTGAACAACAGACCCTGGAGGATGGCACCGTGACTCTACGGGAGCGCGACAGTACAGCGCAGGTGCGCATTCACAAGGATGAGGTGGCATCGGTGGTGCGCCAGCTGGCAGATGGGCTGCTGGTTTGGACAGATGTGCAGGGCAAGTACCCGGCTGTTGCTCAGAAGGAAGCTTGAAGAATTGGACTATGAGTGCAATGTGAATGATGGTGAAGATATGACGAGTGTAGATACGATGGACTTTTCATTATGATTGATCAGTGTGCCATTGTGAGTTATTTGCCATTTTGCTAGAATTTTTTGAATTCGGTAATATGCTTCACTCACATGTGGAAATCTGGAAACGAGTATATGTAGCCATATGGATACTGGTGTTGTACAATAAAATGTTTGTACAATCGAAGTGAACTTTACCGCAAACAAATCCTGGTTATTCCCGAAAGCAGGGCTACGATCTCAGCGTAACCATGACGCAGCTCGGAGCTTCCCTCCCTAGTCTGACAGATTTCGCAGCGTTCCTGAGCCGAAATTCAGCTTTTCCATCCCATTGTTCAACTACTGCACTAGCTGTCAGCCTAGATTCTAGTTCATGAAGCCTAGCCCAGCAGACTTGTCGTCCTAAATCAAATTATGTTCGCTGTGGCGTTCAAATATTTCAAGCCTGAGAGAAAGGTTTACACGGCCCTGCATTAGCATAAGAATCCCATCATTCCGCATTTTCCTGGAGGTGGCCGCTGCTTTCCTAGGAAGCATAATATCTAAGCTCTGCGTGTGCTTCGGATTTTAGGGTTGCGTATTTCAAATTCTAGAAATTCATTACCTATTTGCGAAACCCGCTTGATGGGTCACGAGCCTGATCAGCAATCCTTAGCTTGTTCTAGGTTCTGAATCAGGTTGCTCGCGAGTTTAACGGATTGAATGCCAGTCTTACCGGCTCTGAGTAAGAGCGTAGAACTGAGATAGCCTCATTGCCGGAACCACTCCGCAAGTAAGCTGACATGGCAGCACGCGAGCAGATCGATGTGTCTGGTGCTGCCACGTCAGCCTTCATGAATCGATCTGAGCTACTGTGCGTGGTAGTGAGGGATCTGACCGGATCCCACGTGACAGTGGAGGCGACGTGCGACATGCGAGTAGGCGACGCGAAGCGAGTCGCTGCTGGAGCAATGAACAAGGACGCGTCCCTGAAACACGTCATTTTCCATAAAGTAGGTATGCCGTTCTCTTCCCCTAGTTACTTTACTGTGTCCACCATTTCCATGAGGTAGGTCTTATCGATGCCGTTCAATTTCCCTGCTGCATTAGTGTTTCGACCATTTACCGTGTAGTATACTTATACAGCCAGACCGACATTTTCTTTTCTCTTACCATTATCTCTTTGGGGGTTCTGCACTAACAATGCTGATCTCGATGCATCACACGCTGTCGTGGCTCCATGGCTTGCCTTCGTTGTTCACCTTTCTACCGTTTTCACTGGTCTCTCTACGCCTATTCACCCCTCTTGCAGGGCTCTCGCCTCAAGGACTCCACCCGATTGGTCGACATTCCCGGCCTCCTCCAGCCTGGATCTGCCACGTCAGCATCTGCCAGCGCTGCTACACCAAGGGCCCCATCTGTCCGTGCTGGCAGCTCCATCCCCATGAATGGCAGTTCCCATGGTGCGGCGCATGCTCCTGCCTCTGACTCTAAGCCCTGTGGCTCTGAATCTGCACCCGCAGACGCTTTCCTGGTTCTGATGAGCTTCCAGCGCAAGGAGAAGCGACAGATGGGTCCTGTGCTGTCCTCGCAGTCTGGGGGAACGCCACGTCGTGCTGCTGCTGCCATGACATTGGATGGTGCACATGGCACCGGCACAGCCATTGGGTCTCCTCGCATTCCAGATCCGATCCCATTTTCGCCATCTGCTCATCCCCCATCTCATTGCGTTGTACCATCTAGTCAGCGCTTCCCTCCAAAAGAAAGAGCTCAGATTAGCGCTGCTGCTATAAGAAGAGGATGTGCAGTAGATGTGGTGGAGCAGCGGATCAGTAGCAACCCTCCTGAACTCGCTGCACCGAGGACGGACGGAGGCGCAAAGCAGAATGAGTCCGCTGAGGTTGACAATGGCTCTCAGGCGTTAGAAGATTTTGTTTCCCCGGTTGCAGCCTGCAGCAGCAGAAACAGTTTATCATCAGCTGGTTCAGCTTCGGCCCCATCTCCAGCTCCGGGACACCCGGCTCCTGCACGACCATCAGCATTGCCACCATCACCACCATCGGCACCGTCGGCACCATCGGCACCATCACCAACAACACCAACACCAGCATTGTCACCATCACCTCCATTTCCACCGTCGCCACCGTCGCCAGCGGCGTTACCAACCCCAGCAGCACCAATGTGGCCCTCTTCCCCTCCTCGCTACCTGCCATTCCATGCTCCTCGCACTCGTGGGCTCCATTCTGCCTCTGGCGTGGCCCTGGGGAGGGTGGAGAGGGATGTCAGGGAGCATGCTAACAGCACGAGAGAAAAAGACACGGGGACTGCTGGGCGTACAGGCGTGAATGGCGCACATGTCATAAGGGATGATACTACTTCTGGCACAAGGGATGGAATTGCTGACAATGGGAATGGTGCTGCTGACGCAAAGGATGGTCCTACTGACACAAGGACGTGTGGTACTGACATTAGGGATAGGTCGAGCAAAGGGGGCAACACAGGTGTAGGAAAGGGCGGGGTGGCGAGTAAGGTGGAGAGGCAGGGGGGACGGAAGAGGAAAGCAGAGAGGGGAGACGAGCAGCAGGCAGCAGGCAGGGCGGGGTTGCCTCACAGCGTTGCCGTGCTTGACAGCAAGTTTGGGCTGCTCGCTGCAGTGTATGGTTTCTTGGAACAGCGGACAGTCAAGGTGTGTGTGTGTGCTTCTTGAAAAATGAACTGTTAACTTCTGCTGCATTTGACTGCCATGCCATGTGCTTTTTCCTGGCCCAGGAGATCTTTGACTGTTGTCATGGTCACTCCCGACTCGCCTTTCTTTGTGCCCCTGTTGTAACTCCAGGCCACGTGGAAGCGGCTTGAGGTCGCATTGAAGGACCTTGGGAGCGGTGCCGAGGGCGAAGCTGTCACTCTCCAAGTGAGTTAGTGAGTGAGTAGGCGAGTGAGTGAGGGAATGAATGAGTGAGTGAATGACCTAGTGAGTGTGTGGCAGTTCTCTTCTCTACACACGTGTGGCTGTGTGCTAAGGGTGAATGCTCCTTATTGTGCCTCTTGTGAGGCTCGTGTGCCAGGTGGACGAGAGCGTGTGTTGTCGCGTCTGTTTGTCTGTGCCTTGCATGTGCGACGGTAATGGCAGGACATCAGGGACATGGCTGCACTGGCTCCTTCGGTGGTTTGGACGTGGGAAGAGGAAGACGAGGAGGAGGGCGAGGAAGGGAAAGTGGGGGGAGAGGTTGAGCCGGTGGAGGAAGGGAGAGGGAGTGAGGGGGAGGAAGTGAGTGAGGGGGCTGAAGGGCGTGCAAGTCATGCACGGGAGAAGGGAGCTGGCAGCTGCAGAGGTCAAAGGGGCCGAGGAGGAAGGGAAACACCGGGTGGAAGATGGGAGGAGGGGGGAGTTGATGAGGGGCGAGAAGATCAGGGAAGGAGAGGGGGGAAAGCAGCTGTAGCGGGAGGGGGGAAGGGGAGAGGAGATGGAGGTGCGCTGGTTGTGGTGGTGGGCATGTGGGACCCGTCTCGACCGCCAGAGCAGCAGATCAAGCGTGGAGGCATGCTGCTGCAAGGTGTGTGCTAGAAAGTAGTTGTTTTGGGGGAAACCAGTGCCACCTGTGGCGTGTTTGCTTCTTGCTGGTGTTGTGTGAACTTGCCAATTTTCAGTCCCCACCGTCCCCCATTTCCCTCCAGGCACACAGCAGCGCACGCCGCGTCGCAGTGCTGTCAAGCTGGCAGACAAGAGGAGAGCTGCTTTTCACTCGGCACTCACTGCAGCCCTCCACCGCACCCACCAAGACTTCCTCGATCACGTCCTCCCTCCTGCGCCGCAGTCACAGCCCGCCGCAGCACACATTCACCCATCACCTCAGTCCCGCCGTTCAGCCTTCCCTGTTGCTGCGGCATCTGGCATGGGCTGTGCCAGCAGAGGCCTGCAAGGAGAGGAGAGTCAACATGGGGCGGCTGGTGCAGCGGAAGGGGGGAGCGAGGCAGAGCAGGGTGAGCAGGAGTGCAGTGCGGTGCCGGGAGAGGAGAGGATGGTGGAAGAGGGGCGTTTTGAAGCAGGGGGAGTTGACGTGGAAGAGAGTGGCAGAGTGAGAGGAGGGAAAGAGAAGAAGCAGGGATGTACTGGTGTGAAGCAGAGTGCGGGCAGCATGGCTTGGCATGCGGATTTCCCTTTTGAAGACATCTCCGTCTCCATGCTGCTTGCTGAAGCGGCCTCATTCCATTCCTCTCAGCATATTGATGCTCATGTGCATGCAAGGCATGGGGGAGTTAAGAAGGGAGGGAAAGCGAAACAGCAGAGAGAGGCAAGGGCGGGGAGGCAGAGCAAGCAGCGGAGGAAAGGAGGGGCAGCTGGGGATGAGTCTGTTAAGACTGGAGAGGTGGAGGAAGGCGCAATGGAGAGTGGGGAAGGGGCAGAGGAGGGTGGGAAGAAGGGAGGCTGTGATGGTGGTGCTGGTTGTGGTGGCGATGAGTGGTGGGAAGAGGCAGGCGTTGGGTCGCAGCGATACACACCTCCTTGTCCGCCCAGGCAACTCAAGAAGGTGCCTCCTTGCAATGTGAGTGCTGCTGTGACGTGAGTGCTGTGACGTGAGTGCTGCCATGTTACTGACTCACTGCATCAACCACACAGCATTCTGATTCCTGCCAAACCAACCCAGCTCAGAACTCGCCGTCCGTCTCCCCTTTCCCCTCACACTCCTGCTTCTCCCTTCCCTCCCCTGTAACTCCGTTGTCTGCCCACATCCCCCCCGCATCTCCCTCCCTCTGCTGCGCCGGGCATCAGAGCACGGAGCCCATGGGTGCACCGCAGCTGCTGGAGCATCTCAAGCAGGGATTGGGATCACTAGGGCAGGTGCGTGGGGGCTGTGGGGGAGGTGGAGGGGGTCTAGTTTTGAGGCGCCTCAAGGCGCCTCAAAACTAGGCGCCTCATTACTGGGGCAGGCAGGTGCGTGGGGGCTGTGGGGGAGAGAGGGAGGGTTCTGCAAGGGAGGGAGGGTTGCTTGGGCAGGTGGATACTTGCCTGATTGATGCGTTTCTCCATTCTATGAAACCCACATGCCTCGTTATTCCTCTCATATGCACAATTCCCTGCTCCACACACCCCCTTCCCTGCTGCACGCGCTCACCTCCCTGTCTCCCTGTCGCCCTGCTTCCGTAGCTCCCTGCCTCCCTGTCGCCCTGCTTCCCTACCTCCCTGCCTCCCTGTCAACCTGCCTTGCTATCGCCCTGCTTCCGTAGCTCCCTGCCTCCCTGTCGCCCTGCTTCCCTACCTCCTAAGGCCTTGTCGCCCCGCCTTCCTACCACCCTGCTTCTTTCCCCCCCCCTATCAGGTGGTGCACTGCGAGGAGCTGCCACAGAGGAAACCGCGCTATGGAAAGCTGGCCAGCCAGTTATGCCCTGCCACGTGGCACGCCTTGGCTCGTGCGGGTGTCTCCCAGCTCTATTCCCATCAGGTAAGCACACGTGGCTCATGCCTTGCCGTGCCCATCAGGTAAGCACATGTGGCTTGTGCCTTCCTTTGCCTCTTTTACCCCTTTCCCTTCAGAGAGACGACCAACAAACATTCTTGCTTGGTGAGGCCTTACCGATGCATGTCCTTTTTTTTTGGTTGATTCCCTGCTTTGCTTTGCCCTGCAGGTGAAGGCTATAGACGCGGCACTGGCCGGGCGGCATGCAATCATTGCCACGGCGACAGCGAGTGGCAAGTCGCTGTGCTACAATGTGCCAGTCCTCCACACGCTGCTCTCGCACCCCCACGCCACCGCCCTCTACCTCTTCCCCACTAAGGTGCGCCCCTTAACTCGAGTAGGCATTGCCCATAAGAACAAAATATGGACTTTCAACCCATGGATCTCATTTTCAGCCCCTGGACCATGCCTCTCCTCTAAAGGGCGCCTCTCCTCAAAGGCCCGATCTAGCCCTCCTCTCCCACCTCGCTTCATCCACTCCCCTCGCTTCCTCCTTCTAAGGGCCATCCAGCCCTCCTCTCCCACCTCGCTTCCTCCACTCCCCACGCTTCCTCCTCCCAAGGGCCACCCAGCCCTCCTCTCCCACCTCGCTTCCTCCACTCCCCACGCTTCCTCCTCCTAAGGGCCATCCAGCCCTCCTCTCCCACCTCGCTTCCTCCACTTCTCTCTCTTCCTCCTCCCTAGGGTCACCCAACCCTCGTCTCCCACCTCGCTTCCTCCACTCCCCTCGCTTCCTCCTCCTAAGGGCCATCCAGCCCTCCTCTCTTACCTCGCTTCCTCCACTCCCCTCGCTTCCTCCTCCTAAGGGCCATCCAGCCCTCCTCTCCCACCTCGCTTCCTCCACTCCCCTCGCTTCCTCCTCCTAAAGGCCATCCAGCCCTCCTCTCCCACCTCGCTTCCTCCACTCCCCACGCTTCCTCCTCCCAAGGGCCACCCAGCCCTCCTCTCTTACCTCGCTTCCTCCACTCCCCTCGCTTCCTCCTCCTAAGGGCCATCCAGCCCTCCTCTCCCACCTCGCTTCCTCCACTCCCCTCGCTTCCTCCTCCAGGCCATCCAGCCCTCCTCTCACACCTCGCTTCCTCCACTCCCCTCGCTTCCTCCTCCCAAGGGCCATCCAGCCCTCCTCTCCCACCTCGCTTCCCCCACTCCCCACGCCCCTCCTAAGGGCCATCCAGCCCTCCTCTCCCATCTCGCTTCCTCCACTCCCCTCGCTTCCTCCTCCTAAAGGCCATCCAGCCCTCCTCTCCCACCTCGCTTCCTCCACTCGCCTCTCTTCCTCCTCCCAAGGGCCATTCAGCCCTCCTCTCCCATCTCACTTCCTCCTCTCCCCCTGCTTCCTCCTCCTAAGGGCCATCCAGCCCTCCTCTCCCACCTCGCTTCCTCCACTCCCCACGCTTCCTCCTCCTAAGGGCCATCCTTCCTTCCTCTCCCACCTCGCTTCCTCCACTCCCCACGCTTCCTCCTCCTAAGGGCCATCCTTCCCTCCTCTCCCACCTCGCTTCCTCCACTCCCCTCGCTTCTCCCTCTAAGGGGCACCTCTCCTGTAAGGGGCGCCTCTCCTCTAAGCGGTGCCTCTGCTGTAAGGGGCGCCTCTCCTCTAAGCGGTGCCTCTGCTGTAAGGGGCGCCTCTCCGCTAAGAAGTGCCTCTGCTGTAAGGGGCGCCTCTCCTCTAAGCGGTGCCTCTGCTGTAAGGGGCGCTTCTCCTCTAAGCGGTGCCTCTGCTGTAAGGGGCGCCTCTCCTCTAAGCGGTGCCTCTGCTGTAAGGGGCGCCTCTCCTCTAAGCGGTGCCTCTGCTGTAAGGGGCGCCTCTCCTCTAAGCGGTGCCTCTGCTGTAAGGGGCGCCTCTCCTCTAAGCGGTGCCTCTGCTGTAAGGGGCGCCTCTCCTCTAAGAGGCGCCTCCCCTGTTAAGATGCGCCTATGGGGCGCCGAAGGGCTGCCTCTTCTCTAAGGGGCACTAAGAGGCGCCTCTTTGCTCCTCTGGGGTGTGACTCGGGCGCCACTCCTCTGCGGTGTGAGTCGGGCGCCACTCCTCTGCGGTGTGAGTCGGGCGCCACTCCTCTGCGGTGTGAGGCAGGCGCCACTCCTCTGCGGTGTGAGGCGGGCGCCACTCCTCTGTGGTGTGACTCGGGCGCCACTCCTCTGTGGTGTGACTCGGGCGCCACTCCTCTGTGGTGTGAATCGGGCGCCACTCCTCTGCGGAGTGAGGCGGGCGCCACTCCTCTACGAGGCGCCTCCAAACTAAGAGGCGCCTCGCCTCTAAGGGACGCCGCTTGCATGCATCCCCTTGCATGCAACCCCTGCATGCAACTCCCTGCATGCAACTCCCCCACACGTAATCCACTTTTTTACTTTGTTCCCCTCTAACATTTTCTTTGCTAGTCTCCTCACCTATCTTCAACCTAATCTTCCGTTTGTTATGCTCTCTTCTGCCAAACCTCCCTGTCTGTCGCTGAACCCAAAAGGCTCTAGCCCAGGACCAGCTGCGAGCACTGCATGCGTTGGTGGGTTGGGACGGGGGAGAAAACGGGGCAGATGATATGGGCGAGGGAAGTGGAACTAAGCTGGGGGCTGGCAATATGACAGAAGCTGACGTGGCTGGGGAGAGGCATGAAAGTGATGTGCGTGGGGAGAGGGAGAGGAGTGCGGCGGGGCGTGTGGCAGTAGAAGCGCAGTTGAGGAGGGTGGGAGAGGTGATGGCGATATACGATGGTGACACTCCCCATGCTGCTCGGCGGGCCTTTAGAAACAAGTCTCAACTGGTGAGCCAATGCGTGATGTGTGTGGGGTATGATGCATGGTGTATGGTGCATGTGCATGCCTGGTATGCTGTATAGGTTTGAGGTTTTGCCTGTCTCATTGTGCCTTCTCCTTCCGCAGCTGCTTCTGTTCTGCTTCTGGCATCCTCACCTCAGTTGACACACCCTACACCGGCTGCTGCACTCTGCTTCACGGATCCTTATCTCACGCGTATGAAATGCAGATCTTATCTAATCCTGACATGCTGCACGTCACCATGCTGCCTGGCCATCGGGACTTCAGTCGTTTCCTCTCCAACCTGCGGTAAGCTCTTGCCTTTTCAACGTGACAGACACCTTTGTCTTCCCCTTTAACTCACTTCAGTCTCATCTTGTTCCACAGTATGAATTTCCTTCGTGCTGGTTCAGATCCCCTTTCGCCCTCTCTGCTTGTACCTGCTGTTGCCCACATGTTTCAATTTTACTCATTCGGTCTTTCCCCCCCTTAACCCGTTTTCTCCCTTCTGCGCTCTCCACACTGTTTTCCTCATCTCTCCCAGCTTTGTGGTGGTGGATGAGGCGCATGCATACAGGGGTGCTTTTGGCTGCCATGCTGCTCTCATCTTCAGACGCCTGCGCCGTCTTTGCGCTCATGGTGGGTGGGAGGGAGGGATGGGGTGGGGTGGGTGGGTGGGTGGGTGGGTGGGTGGGTGGGTGGGTGGGTGGGTGAGCAGTTGGCTGTGGTAGTGGGTGGGTGGGTGGGTGGGTGGGTGGGTGGGTGGGTGAGCAGTTGGCTGTGGTAGTGGGTGGGTGGGTGGGTGGGAGGGTGGGTGGGTGGGTGGGTGGGTGGGTGGGCAGTTGGCTGTGGTAGTGGGTGGGTGGGTGTGGGCAGTGTGTGACAGGGTGTGGGTTATATCACAACGGACTTGCTCGCTGTGCTGGGCCTGTCCGATATGCCTGCTGTGTTCATGCAGTGTGCGTGCAGTTGCAGTTGCCTGCTGCTTGCTCTCGTGCCTCTGCCTCTGCACCCCGTCTTGTTCCACACTCACGGTTTCTGGATCCGCGTCATGACTTGGCATCACTCCGCTCGTCAAGAAACCCACCAACCAGTGCTTGACCCAACCCACCCATCTATTCCCCTCCCCTTGGACTCCATCCCCGTTCCCGTGACCCGTCTCCATCCTGTCCCCTGCGACCAGTGTACGGCTCAGATCCCATCTTCATAGTGTGCTCTGCCACGTGTGCGGATCCCAAGGACCACGTGCGAGCCCTCTTGGGGCTGGAGGAGGTGACAGTGGTGGATGGCAGTGACGATGGCAGCCCCTGTGGTCGCAAGAGCTTTGTGCTCTGGAACCCACCCATCACCATGCCGCCTGTAAGCAACCGCACCCCAAGGATCTTAGGTAGTAGGGACCACGTGCGACCCTGCTGGGCGTGGAGGAAGTGGTGGTGGTGGATGGCAGTGACGATGGCAGCCCCTGTGGTCGCAAGAGCTTTGTTCTCTGGAACCCGCCCATCACCATGCCGCCTGTAAGAAACCCCCTCTTGAACCCCACCCCAAGGGTCTTAGGTAGTACCAGAATAGGGACCACACCCTCTCTTGACCCGCCTCTGTGCCGCAGCTCAAGGAGGCAAACACCGCAGGTGCGTTGGGACTGCAGGTGCGTTGGGACTGCAGGTGCGTTGGGACTGCAGGTGCGTTGGGACTGCAGGTGCGTTGGGACTGCAGGTGCGTTGGGACTGCAGGTGCGTTGGGACTGCAGGTGCGTTGGGACTGCAGGTGCGTTGGGACTGCAGGTGCGTTGGGACTGGAGGTGCGTTGGGACTGGAGGTGCGTTGGGACTGGAGGTGCGTTGGGACTGGAGGTGCGTTGGGACTGCAGGTGCGTTGGGACTGCAGGTGCGTTGGGACTGCAGGTGCGTTGGGACTGGAGGTGCGTTGGGACTGGAGGTGCGTTGGGACTGCAGGTGCGTTGGGACTGCAGGTGCGTTGGGACTGCAGGTGCGTTGGGACTGCAGGTGCGTTGGGACTGCAGGTGCGTTGGGACTGGAGGTGCGTTGGGACTGGAGGTGCGTTGGGACTGGAGGTGCGTTGGGACTGCAGGTGCGTTGGGACTGGAGGTGCGTTGGGACTGCAGGTGCGTTGGGACTGCAGGTGCGTTGGGACTGCAGGTGCGTTGGGACTGCAGGTGCGTTGGGACTGCAGGTGCGTTGGGACTGCAGGTGCGTTGGGACTGCAGGTGCGTTGGGACTGCAGGTGCGTTGGGACTGCAGGTGCGTTGGGACTGCAGGTGCGTTGGGACTGCAGGTGCGTTGGGACTGCAGGTGCGTTGGGACTGCAGGTGCGTTGGGACTGGAGGTGCGTTGGGACTGGAGGTGCGTTGGGACTGGAGGTGCGTTGGGACTGGAGGTGCGTTGGGACTGGAGGTGCGTTGGGACTGGAGGTGCGTTGGGACTGGAGATGCGTTGGGACTGGAGGTGAGTTGGGACTGGAGATGCGTTGGGACTGGAGGTGAGTTGGGACTGGAGGTGCGTTGGGACTGGAGGTGCGTTGGGACTGCAGGTGCGTTGGGACTGGAGGTGCGTTGGGAATGGAGGTGCGTTGGGACTGCAGGTGCGTTGGGACTGGAGGTGCGTTGGGACTGGAGGTGCGTTGGGACTGGAGGTGCGTTGGGACTGCAGGTTCGTTGGGACTGCAGGTGCGTTGGGACTGCAGGTGCGTTGGGACTGCAGGTGCGTTGGGACTGCAGGTGCGTTGGGACTGGAGGTGCATTGGGACTGCAGGTGCGTTGGGACTGCACAATCCCTGTCATTCGACGCAATCTTTCACTCTATTTTTCTGAACCTCCATCTCCCTCTCAGGCAGCCAGGCCTCTGCGTCGCAGCTTTCGAAGGCAGACGCACAGCTCTTGCAACTGGTTGCTACACAAGTCTTCTCAACCTACGCACTCTCTTGTGATCCCGTCTCTCCTCCCCCAGGCTGCGAGGCCTCTGCGCCGTAGCTCACGAAGGCAGACGCCGCAGCTGCTGCAACCAGCCGCTGCGTGCGCACATGTGATGATGGCCAAGCGAGCCAGGTGAGCGGAGGGAATGGTCAAACGCACAAACACGCGTCATCAACTCGTGAATTCATGCCACAGCAGAGCTGCTCACTCCAGTGCTGCAACCCGCCGCTGCTTGCGCACACGTGATGATGGGCCAAACGAGGCAGGTGAGGGGAGGGAATGGTCAAACGCACAAACACGCGTCATGAACTCGTGAATTCATGCCACATCAGAGCTGCTCACTCCAGTGCTGCAACCCGCCGCTGCTTGCGCACACGTGATGATGGGCCAAACGAGGCATGTGAGGGGAAGGAATGGTCAAACGCACATCACTACCCCATAACGGAGGTATCACTGCTGCTAACGGAGATGGTACAGCACGACATGCGCTGCCTCTCCCCCTCACATGCACCCTTGGCTTTGCCTCCCTCTTCCCGCTCGCAACCACCCCTCATCCCTATAGTGGAGGTGGCGCTGCTGCTAGCAGAGATAATGCAGCACGTCCTGCTATGCCTCTCCCCCTCACATGCACCCTTGACCTTGCCTCCCCCTCTTCGCCCCTTTCCCCCCTCCCCCCCTCCGCCAACACCCAGTCCCATAGTGGAGGTGGCGCTGCTGCTAGCGGAGATGGTGCAGCACGACCTGCGCTGCCTCTTCCACTCCCATACTCCCTCTTCTCAACCCTCCCCCCCATCCCGCTCGCCCCCACCCCCCAGCCCCATAGTGGAGGTGGCGCTGCTGCTAGCGGAGATGGTGCAGCACGACCTGCGCTGCCTCGCCTTCTGCAAGACAAGGAAGCTCTCAGAGCTCGTCCTCACGTACACGTGAGTGCCTTCTCCTGTCCGCTTGTACCATGCCATGGTCCCCTTGCGGCTCATTCCCTTTCCAAGTCAACTCAAACTCCAGGAGATTCTCCTGGAGATTCGCTCTCAGAGCTCGTCCTCACACGTGAGATTCTCCTCCCGTTTGCCCGTACCATGCTAAACCTCAGAGTTCTCAAAAGGGATTCCTGTATAGCTGTCTAAGCTCCTCCCCTTCCTTTCCCACACCCTGCCATCTGCCACCCCCATGTGCTATGTGCCATCCCCTACTGCCATGGGTCCACCACACCAGCAAGGAGGTGCTGCGGGAGAGAGCGCCACATCTGGTGGGCACAGTGCTGGCGTACCGTGCCGGGTACACGGCTCAGGTCAGTCGTGTACCTCCGCTGTTGGTACTCTGCTGCTCAGGCCAGTCACACCAGCAAGGAGGTGCTGCGGGAGAGAGCCCCTCATCTGGTGGACACAGTGCTGGCGTACCGTGCCGGGTACACGGCTCAGGTCAGCCTCTCACCTCTCTTCTCTTCTCTTCTCTTCTCTTCTCTTCTCTTCTCTTCTCTTCTCTTCTCTTCTCTTCTCTTCTCTTCTCTTCTCTTCTCTTCTCTGTACGTAACACAGTATGTGCATGTCGTGTCACCCTCCTCTGTCACCCCCCTCTGTCACCTCCTCTGTGATCGCTCTCGTGGCAGAGCAGGGTACAGAGGTGGGCAGGCATCCTACAACTGTTCGCTCCATCTGCCTCAGCTCACACGGACCAATCTCCTTGCTCCCTTCCTCCCCCCTCTCTCCATCAGGACCGGCGGCGCATTGAGAGGGAGCTGTTTCACGGGCGGCTGCGTGCTGTGGCAGCAACGAGTGCATTGGAGCTAGGAGTGGACGTGGGTGCCCTAGACGCCACCCTGCACCTCGGCTTCCACGGCTCCACCGCCAGCCTCTGGCAGCAGGCCGGCCGGGCAGGGCGCAGGGAGAAGGCCTCTCTCTCTATCTACGTTGCCTTTGACGGGCCGCTAGATCAGTACTTTATGGCGGCTCCTGACAGGCTGTTCTCTCGGCCAATCGAGCGCTGCCAGCTGGACGCGGAGAATCCCCTGGTGATGCGGCAGCAGCTGCAGTGTGCCGCGGCGGAGATGCCGTTGCTGGAGGATGTGGATGGGAGGTTCTTTGGCCCGTCATTGGCCGAGAGGATTGCTGAGCTGGCGGGAAAGGGCGCGCTTGGGAGGAGTCCGGAGAATCCCGAGGTGGACCGCGGGTGGAGGTACATTGGGGCGGGGAAGCGGCCGGCGCAGTTTGTCCCGGTGCGGGCGATCGATCCGAACACGTATGCGGTGGTGGAGGCGAGGACTGGGATGGTGCTGGAGGAGATCGAAGAGAGCAAGGCCTTCTTCGTGGTAGGTATCTGGGGGCTCGGGCATGTGGGCATGGGCATGTGGGCACGGGCATGCGAACTCAGTTGTCTTTTCATGCTTCCCCATCCTCCCATGTGCAGCTGTACGAGGGTGCGGTGTACCTGCAGCAGGGGCGAACCTTCCTGGTGACATCCCTGGATCTGGAGAAGCGGGAGGCACGGTGTGTGCGGGCGGATGTGCGGTATTACACCAAGACAATCGACATGGTCGCTGTGACTATAAAGGGCGGCACTCTGGTGAGCATAGAACCTGCAGATTCATTCTAGTTCTGAAATCAAGTACCATCGGATTGAGACACTTCCTTTATCTACTCACTCGCACCCTCCCTTGCACCGGCAGGCTTTTCCATACCCACACATGCCGTCTGCAAAGCCAGCTTCAGCCTCTTTGGTTATGACGTCAGCACACAAAGTGCTCAAAGAGGCGATGACCTCAGCAGCACACGCAGCAGCACCCTTCGAGCCAGTGACGTCAGCACACGTGGCAAAAGGCGGTGTGATGACATCAGCACAGACGGCACCGTGTGAGGTTACGACTCGGTGGATTGGTTACCGCAAGATGTGGCGCGGGTCAGGAGAGCCGTTTGAAACGGTGGAGATGACACTGCCAGATGTAACGTACGCCACCCAGGTGAGTGAGCTGACATGACATGACCCGGTTGATGTCCACGTGCTGCTGCATAAGTCATTCTGTGTGTTAGCCCTGAACTGTTGGGCTTTTTCATTCATGGATGTGAGATGCTTGTGGGAGATATCACCCCTCTTTTGCTGCTCCAGTCTCTTATCGTGCATCCCTCTCGCCTGGCTTGCAGGCAGTGTGGGTGGCGGTGGCGGGTGGGACAAAGGCGGCAGTGGAGGCAGCGGGTAGTGACTACCGTGCCAGCCTGCATGCTGCCGCTCATGCCCTCGCCAACATGGTTCCCCTGTGAGCCACACTTTGAACCCTTGCATCAGCACACGCAGGCGTCACAAGCATGTGCTCAATCATTGACACAAGCATGTGCACACATACATACACATGTCATCAACATACATGCTCATGCCCTCGCCAGCATGGTGCCCCCGTGAGCGGCACTGTACACCAATGCATCAACACTCCCATCAATCAACACATGCATCCATTCATGAGCACACTTATCAATAACACACTGGCGTATCTACATAAGGTGGGATACCACTGCTCACGTGGTGCCACGTGAGTAGCCTCTCCTCTTCTTTCATACTCACCCTCGTTCCCACCCACTCACCACTCACTCTTGGTCCTCCTGCCTGCGATCTACCGATGCAGCTTTCTAGCCTGCATGGCATCGGACATGGGAGTGGAGTGCACAAATGTTTTGTGAGTCGACTCACAACTCTGTTCCGCATGCCTGTTCTGTGCTCCACCCATCCAGCTTCCTAGCCTGCATGGCATCGGACATGGGAGTGGAGTGTGCCTCTCCCTACGACTCGCGCTTCTTCCCTCAGCGCCTCCTGCTTTATGACAAGCACCCGGGGGGGATCGGCCTGGCGGTGCAGGTATGAGAAGCAAGCGGAGGGGATAGGCTGGGCTGCACAGGTAGTAACGATGTATTAGCTACCTGCACTTGCACCTCCTGCTTGATTGCATCCAATCATTATTTGAAATGCCCTCATGTGTCAACGGTGCCTTTCTTACTGCACGGTTCCTGGATCTGCCCTGCTCCTGTCACTCCTTTTCTTCTTTTTCTTCTTCTTCCAGCTCCAACCTCAGTTCCCCTCGATCCTCCGTGCTGCACTGGAGCTGGTTACCAAGTGCCAGTGTAACATGCCCAATGGCTGTCCTGGCTGTGTACATGTGAGTCTGAAGGTCTTTATGTTTCTGCATGTAGTCTCTGTAGAAAAGATAGGCAGTATTATTTTTGGTTTGTTGTTTGTGCACACACGAAGTACTGTAAGTAATGTAATGATGGTATTTCCATTTCTTGACATCCTCCCTCCCAACCATTGTTGCCCAACATCATCGGGAAACATGCAGTTTCTTGCATGTGGAGAGTACAACGGCGTGCTGGATAAAAAGGGAGCTCAGATCATCTTGAAGGTGCAATCTATCTTTTGTTATCCTCCATTTGTTAACTATCTTGGTGTGCTCATCTGACATTGACGTTTTCCCATGAACTTGCACGTCTGCAGATGGCAGTGGAATCAGAAGATAAATTCTTGAGGGACATAGGAGTCCCCTTGTCACAGCATGCTGGTGGCTTTCTCGATCAGGAAGTGGTACTGTGATTTGTGTATATGTTTTTATAATATTGTGATTCAGATTATGGGTGTATAACGACCTTCCCATATCGCAACACGTAAAACATGAAACCTGTGGCTTGGCTGGGCTCTGTCTCGCCTGAGTCGCCTCGTCTTGTGTTTCTGCTGGCTTGGCGCTGAAGTTTCTACCTGCCGTGCTCATCGCAGCCAATGGGTTGTCGCGCTGGTTCTGACAACGCCGAACCAGACGAGTGTGGCGAACTGGTAACACGATATCGTAAGCGTATTAGCAAGCGATTTGTCACGGCCTTCCCCAGCAGCACCGGAGCACAATACAGGCAGTCAAAGGGAAAATATGTTACAAGTAACCAAAATGGGACTTGATAACACGAATAGTAAAAAAATAACGTGTACGGTCACTGTATCGGGTTCGCTGACGGGCTTGGTAAGTTGGGTCACGGATTCAGTCATTAACAACAGGTAAAAAATCACGCGAATGGTCACACATGTAACTCCCGCCAAAATTTCTTGAAACTCTACAAATTTCCCGCTCGCGCCCAACCAATCTGCTAAGTTCTAACAAAACTAAAACCCAATCGGAATCGGATGCGGTTTGGGAACGGATCAACCCTGAACACCTGGCGATTTACGTGTTTAGGGTTGATTCGCCCGAAAATGAATCCAGGTTCCATTTGGGTTATATTTTTTGGCGGGAGTTTCATCTGTGACCATTCGCGTGATTTCTTACCAGTTATTAGTGACTGATTCCGTGAAACGTTTTATCAGTCGCGTGAAAACACGTGCAGTGACCGTACCTGTTATTTCTTTACCAAAAATGTTTTCGAGTCTATTTTCGTTACGAATGGCATATTTTCCCGCAGCCGAACCTTGAAATTGCCATACAGGCAGCAACCAACAACCACCCAACGGCCAGGAAAGCTCGTAATACCGTACCATATCGCCCATTTAACGCCTTCGAACGTGAAGCACCGGTTTGAGCCGCAATCAAAGAGCTTCTCCAACACACCGACCATCGAACCAGAAAGCACCAGCGGGCATACAGGTTGTCGGTCATTTTATCGTTCTGTGCTAGGATCTTCGGAACAAATACGTGTGCTCGTGATGTGATGAACGTTCTGATAGCTTCAGGATGAAGTCTAGCTGAAGCAAAAACCACGGGCCTGTTTCCACAGAGTAGCTTTCCTTCCGAAGCGAGTGCTTTCCTCACGAGTTTCCGAAGCAAGATCGTGAGAAGGCTGCATTTTCGAGTTTCCCGAGGGACTAATCTGCGATGAATGCGATAAATAGGTTTTCTGACGCGCATTATGTGTGTGCATGCTGAGATGCACCAGCGTTCCACCATTTAATGACGGAAGGCCTTACCGGCTTGCTCTCTAAGTCTACAAGGTGAAACCCGCGACCCCTTGGCGGTGACTCACCCTAATCTATTTTCCCCAACGCGGGTTTCTAAAGCAGCTTCCAGAAGCAGGCTGGTGTTTGGAAGCATTACTGTCAATGGCTGACAAAAGCGGGGACAACGCAGCTGACGATATCCGTCCGATCAGCCAGCTCGAAGACTCTTCCGAACACCAAAACGCACTCCGAGAGTCGCTGATTCAGCGAAGTCGTTCCGTGGACACCGGAGCAGAGCCAGATTCGCACCGTGGCGACCTGAGTCGATTCGACAGTTCCCCAGATCTGCATCGTTTCCTGTTCACCCCTCCCAGATCTCCTCGCCGGCCCCCCGTTGTTCCCAGCAACAGCTCTCCTGATAGTGTCGGATTGGCGATCTCTGAGAACGCTGGTAGAAATCACTTTGGCTCTGCTTCCAGACGGAAACCTCTGCCTTGTCGTATTGAGCCAGACGTGCTGTCATCATGCGGTCAGGCTTCGCCGTTCGATCCAGAACGCCTACATTGTAATGGATCCCCAGCCAGACTCCATGGGTCTCCTGCCAGGCCTCATGATTCCGCAGCTAGACGCGGTGAAACTTCAGCCAGGCTGCATGACTCATCAAGCAGACCCGGTGGGTCTCCAGGCAGGCTCCGTGAATCTTCAGCCGTCGCCGAAACTTCATCCAGGCTCCATGAATCTCCAACCAGATTCGGTGGGTCTCCAGGCAGGCTGCGTGGATCGTCAGCCAAAGCGCAGACCTGCTCGTACGCTTCTCCGCCCGTAGCGGCTGACCGTCAGGATCAGCCCGACAGCCAACTGCCTGATCAGCCATGGTCAGATCCGAGACTGACTGATCGAGAATCCTCCGAACGAGAATCGCAGGACAGAGAATCGCAGGGCAGAGAATCGCAGGATAGAGAATCGCAGGACACAGAGTCGCATGATAGGGAATCGCAGGACAGAGAATCGCAGGACAGAGAATCGCATGACACTGAATCGCATGATAGAGAATCGCATGATAGAGAATCGCAGGATAGAGATTTGATTGACGGAGGGTTGTCGTTCGGTCGAGAATTCGCTAATCGTAGATCGCCTGATAGAGAATCGTCGTCTGGTAAGGTATCGTCTTTTCAACCGAGTCTCGATGACACACTCGTGGTCACGGGACGCGCCGAGGCTTCTATAACGGGGCATTGTTATACCGAGGGTTATCCAACGGATGATCACCGAACGGGGAGTTACCGTATGGACGATTCTCATACGGAAGATCGAACTGAGGATTGTCGTACCGATGACTCTCGCATGGTGGATTATCGTACGGATGACTCTCGTACGGGCGTACCAAGTGATCGAAGCACTCATAGATTCCCTGATCGCATCTATGCGTTCCTGCAGCACGCCGATGGGATCCTGCAGCGCGCGCAGCTGTTGCTGCAGAGCCTTGTGCGCCATAGCCGGTGGTGGTGGGTGCAGCGGCGACGAGTCGCCGCGTTTGTTATCCAGAAGAAGGTCGCCTGGGCTGCCGCAGCAGCCGCGCGGCCGTCGACTCCCACCGGGAAGAGCCGACACCGGCGCCGATGGGGAAGCGGAAGGGGAGGCGGAGGGGAGGCGGAGGCGGAGGGGGAGGTGGAGGGGGAGGGGGAGGGGGAGGGGGAGGGGGAGCGGGAGGAGGGGGAAAGGGCGCGAATGTAAACAGGGTACTGGCGGCTCTGGCGGTGGTTCTGTTCGTGGTGAATTTCGCCCTGCTCTCCTCGCGCATGGACGGGGCTGCGCGGAGCAAGCACGCTCGCGGGAGCCATGGTGCGGGGGCGCGGAGCGAGCACCGGGTGGGGGACGAGGAAGCGGAGGAGGAAGGGGCCGCGGGTGTGTCCGCGAGCGCGCATGTCCGCCCTGGGTACGAACGGCCACTGAGCTCTCTCACCGTCACAGCCGCGCTATCTCGCACCCACACACTTCCCCAACGTGTGTCTTGGCCTGTTGAAGCTTCCCTTCGCCTCTCTTAAACTTTCCCAATCGTGGTCCAAAATCCCCTTATTCGGCCTCTTTTCCCAACCCCTCCTCTTCTCCCCACTCCTTCTCCTGCCCATTGCCCTCTGCTCCACAGGGCGCGAGCAGGCGGGCATGGGCGCGAGGAGTGGTACAGGCGAGGGCTGCACATCCTCCCAGGCTCGCCCCCTCGCCCCAAGTGGAACGCCTCTGATGACTCCTTTCTCAACTCGCTCGTATGGCCCTCACTCTCACCCTCTGCACACTTGTTTTGCTCTGCACAATCCCAGCACACTCTTTCCCCACTGCTCCCTCTGCTCCCCACCGCTCTGCCAGCAATGCGCTGCCTTTCGCCCCTATACCTCCGTGCTTCTCACACGAGTGTCTCTCTCACCTCCTGTCTCTGCCCCTCACCCTCTGTGCCGCCGTGCAGGTGAGCAGGTGGCACGTGCAGCCGTACTCGTCGCTGCCAGGCGTGTATCTGCTGCAGCAGCCCACGGACTTCGCCTGTGTGCTGCTCATCCAAGACGCCTGCTACCTCTTCATGCAAGGTAAGGGATACCTCCACACTCCACGTGCCACCACCTCTCCATGCAATGTAAGGGCTCATCCCCTCCCCACGAGCCACCATCTCTTCATGCGAGGTATCTGGCACCCCCCTCCCCGCCTGTTACCTCTTCATACGAGGTAAGGGCTCCTCTCCTCCCCTCCCCACACGCTACTTGTCACAACCCCCTCTCAGAACTCTCCTTGTCACTCCCTCCCTCTCTCCCTCACCACTCCCACAACACTTCCATCTCACCCCAGGCAAGTCAAAGCACCACCAGCCCCACACAGGGATCTGGTTTGCCAGGGATCGAACCCGCGACCTCTCACAGATATCCATCATCAATAACGTGTGCCACCTGTACAGTGACAGGCTGGCAGACGCGCTGTACGAGTCCTGGCTGGAGCTGAGCTGGCATGAGCTGGCAATGGCCCTCCAGAGAGAGGCCGTTCATGGGAACGGGGTGAGGAGGGGGAGGGGGGAAGCAGGGGAGGGGAGAAGAGGAGGGGAGAGAGGGGGCATGGAAGGGAGAGGAAAGGACAGGCAAGGGGTTTGGAAGAGTAAGGGAAAGGGAAAGAGAGCAGAGCGAGCAGGTGGGGGAGCAGGAGGGGAGGAGGTGGAAGAAGGAGGGGAGGAGGTGGGAGCAGGAGGGGTGGGTGGAGGGATGAGTGTGGAGGATGTGAGGGAGGTTGCTCGGTTGCATGCTGCAGCAGTGAGGAAACGCAAGGCGGTCATGGCTGCCGCTGCTGCCCATGCCGCTGCTGCTTCTGGTTCTGCTGGTGCTAGCACGCAGCGAGGCATCAGCAAGGAGAACAACAGCAGTCAAGGCAGCAGCAGCAGTGGCAGCAAGGGGAGTAGCACAAAGGGCAGGAACAGCAAGGGCGGCGTATTTGCGCAGGACCAAGAGACTACAGGCCAGTCTACGACAGCAGGCGACGGACTGGGGTACTCGCTGGACGCTCTAGACGCTCCAGAAGCTCCAGAAGCTTCTGATGGGCCGCTTGTGAAGCCGGTGAGGTTGAGAGACCCCAGTGATGACTGGAGGGAGCCAGGCACAGGCGTGAAGGCGCAAGGGGGCCGGGCTGGTGAGAGGAGGGCTGGGAGGGGTGTGACAGGTGGTGGTGGTGGAGGGGAGAGGGTTGAGGCGGGTGAGAAGGGAGGCAAGGCGAGTGGGAAGGGTGAGACGAGTGTGAGAGGAGGTGGTGGTGGAAGGGAGACTGAAAGGAAAGTGAAGGTGGAGGTGGTGAGTGCGCGGAGGAAGCTGTTGGGATTCTGGGGGTCCAGCAAACGCCACAGCCAGGGGGTGCGCACACAGCAACCCGGCAGTAGCAACAGCAGCAGCAGAACCAAATACCACCTTCCACATATGCAACCTCTGCAGGCGCGGCAAACAACCATGGACAACCTAGCAGACGGGTTCACCCAGGAGCCAGACGAGCAGCCGCCAGTAGACCTCTCCGACCTCAAACGCCGCTCCCTGCACACCTACGGGCGGCTGAGCAGCAGCAGCACCACCACCAGCAGCAGACGCCGCCTTCCCAAGATGCAACCTCTGCAGGCGCGGCAAACAACCATGGATAATCTAGCTGACGGATTCACTCAAGAACCAGACGAGCAGCCGCCAGTAGACCTCTCAGACCTCAAGCGCCGCTCCCTGCACACCTACGGGCGGCTGACTAACCACCTGGGCATGACCCGGTACGTGGGGGTGAGTGAGGGGCGGAGTAGGGAGAGGTTAGTGAGGGGGATGAGGGGGAGGGTGGTGCGTGTGGGCGTGGTGGCGATGTATGGTTCGGCTGTGGGCGAGTTTGGGCGCGCGCTGGTGCCTCTCATGGAAGTGGCGGGTCACCTGGAAGACTCGTTGGGGCCACAGGTCGATGCAGAGGCAGAACCGGGAATTTTTCCGGGAAATAAAGCAGTGCAGTGGGTTCAGCAGCAGGGTGGGCAGAAGGTGGAGCAGGAGGGGCGGAGGCAGCAGGGAGGGGAGCAGCAGAGGCGGGGTGATGAGGGCGTGGTGCTCTTCTTCCCCGGAGATGACTCCATTCGCTCTCCGTGGACCGTGCATGCCGCTCGCCTGCTCTTTGGTGACGCCACCAGGGTGGAGGCCGGCAGAGTGGCAGGCCAGAAGGTGAGATACACTGCGCACTCTTGCTGCCCTTCTTTTCGTTTTTCTTTTTTTTCCTTTGTTGAGAAGCACAATCGAAGTTTCTACTGGTGAAGGCCTGCAGAGCATATGGTGCTGAAGGTGAAGGAAAGTCTATCCACCACTTCCATTCCCCCCGTCACGCCACCAGGTGTGCTTCCAGAACCTGCTGCTTGCCTTCAACATAGTACACCCCTCACTTGTTTCCCCAATCTCTCCCCACCCCACTCCACCCCTTCCATTCCCCCCATCAGCCCGCCAGGTGTGCTTCCAAAACCTGCTGCTTCCCACCAACAAGCTGCACCGCACCCCTCACCTTTTCCCCCAACCCCCCCCCCAACACCGCACTCCACCCCTCCCATTCTACCCCACCAGGTGTGCTTCCAGAACCTGCTGCTCCCAATCAACAAGCTGCACCGCCCTCACAGCGCTGACCTCACTCGCCGCCGTGCCTCCCAACCTTCCCCAGCCTCCCAAGCTTCTCAAGCCACCCACGCCACCCAAGCCTCGCAAGCCTCTCCAGCCTCTACAGCCACTGCTCAGGCTTCTCAGGCTACTCAGACCCCAGCAGCCACTCTCCACACCCCTCAACCCACCCACTCACACACTGAACCGCTCCCAGGCACCCCAACCATCCCAACCATCCGAACCCTTCCAAGCCCCTCTCACCAAGACGCTCAGACCTCCTCTCTAGCACCTGATCTCGTGCTCACGTCACAAGCCATCTCGATAGAATCTGTCTCGCTACAAGCCATGGCATCTGCAGCTGGTGGCCACTCAGGGAGGCGAAACCCCTCAATACTGCAGGAGGTTGCAGGTGTAGATATGGAGAGAGGGGAGCGAGTGGGTGGAGAGGGCAGCTATGGAAATGGGTCAGAATCACTAGTGCGACCAATGGTTTATGAGAGGAGAATACCGCCAAAGCTTGCCATCCATGCGTCTCCAGAGGAAAGGCTGGCTGTCGGCGTTGCTGCGCTGCCGTTGGGTGATAAGCGCCGGGCAGCCGCTCTGGCGAATCCCCTGGCTGCTGCTGCTGCCGCCGCCGCAGCAGCAGGAGGAGTGTCAGCAGGAGGAGTTGGAGTAGAGGAAGCAGGGAGGCGGACAGACGTAGGTTCCAAGTTACGCGAGGAAGTGAAGCAGAAGCAGCAGGACGTTGGGGCAAAAGGAACGAGCAGCGACAAAGGGAATGTTAACGAGCAAAAGAAATCGAAGAGGGAGAGGGAGAGAAAGAATGCAGGAGTGGAGGGGAGTGAGGAGGAGGCACAGGAGGACGACCCAGTGGTTGATGCTGAAGCAATGGCGAGGCAAGAGATAGATGACTACTTCGACCAGTACGAGGAACAGCACAGCACCACCCACGAGACTGACCATGACCGTCGCCCCTTCCCCACTGACACTAATTTCTCCACCACCTCCGGTCTCACCCCCAACGTCACTGACACTGACCAGTATCAACCTTCTGCTGAGCCTGGTGCTACTGAGGCTGGGTCCTCTCCTACCCCATCCATGGGAGGTTTGCAGGTTCCCAGACAAACGTTTCTATACCTGCTGCCTGATCGGGATGCGTCGGGCAGGTTAACGGGCAGCACGGGAAAGGATTTCTGGCAGGTGACTCTAGTGGAGCGTGACAATGTTGAGGGGCTGAAAAATCAGCAGGAGGTGGTGGCGCTGATTCAAGCGGTCTTCCCAGAGCTGCCGGTTGCAGTTGTGCGGCTTGGCAACATGTCACTGCATGATCAAGTGCCAATAATGAAGGTGAGCAAGCTTTACGCAATGTGCACTGTACTACTACACCTTGTGGATTGGACTTATGAGGGCTGTTCTTAGTTTTTCTGGCTCAAGGCATGCCAAGTCTGTCCTCTCCCACCCTGCTTTCCCTCTCTCCGCAACCCCTCTGCACCCCTGCCATTTCCCTTCAGCGCACGCTCGTACTGGTAGCAGTTCACGACCTTATCCTCTCCACCTCACTCTTCTTCATGCCACGTGGCACTGTCTTATTGGAGCTCTTCCCCTACAAGCTCTTCAGCACGCAGCACAAGAAGCTTGCCCTCCGGTCTGGAATACACTACATGGCCTGGCAAAACCAGTATCGTTACAACGCATTCTTCCAGGAAAATTGCTTTTGGCGAGGAGGTTACAAAGATACTAAGGATGAGGTATGTTGGAGACAGAGAGACTGTATGAGGTGCATTCGAGACAAGAGTACAACATGGGTGGCAGGTAGAGATCTTCTGGAAGTTTTATCTAATGCAAGGCTGCATGTGCTGAAGCAGCTGCCTCGTGTTGCCATGCACAGGCATAGTGTAGGTAGGTAATTCTATTCATTCTTTATTGGTGCAATAAGATGTGTGTTTTATGTGCTGAGTTATGTTTCATCAATTGATGGCAATGTGTTCGGTGAACTTGTTGACGATAAATCTGTAACTTTGCGAAGAACGACGACACAGAACTCCTCGGGTACAGTATTCGGGTTTGTGGCGAAAATCTCAGAAGGCGAAGAAAAGGTCAAGTTTGTTCAACCGGCACGATTCCCTGCGTCAGGGCTGGAGGGGAATTGCGATGCCAGCATGGCGAACTACGATTGGAGAATTTTCACGGTAAGCTGCTCCAGAGGTTTTCGTCGCTGAAAGTGGTGCTGGCAAGGACAGCGACGCGTGATGTGTGGCGGGCGGTGTCTTGTGGGGCATCGATGCGAAGCGCGTTCTGAGAATGAGGGGCAGTCCGAAGCGCGGATGCAGCAAGTGAGCTGAACAACAAACCATTGCGACAGCTTTGCGAACCAGGCACAATCGAGCAATGAGTACGCCAACCACGGAGAACGAGGTCTCCACCGTACGAAACTCCAGCAAAATAATGAGCCCCCTCATCAAACCACGCTTCGGAAATTCAGATGGTGTTGATCAAACTGGATCCTGTGCTCACATCCACGAGTGCTTGCGCCAAAAAAAAGTTCTCAGGAGTAGACGAAAGAAACCACTCTTCTCGATGTCTTGTCCAGTCCACAATCCAGCGCAACAGCGTCTGGTTAGGTGTAAGGCTGTCGCCGTACCATCGTCGTCACAGTAGGCCGCACGGAACGTCCTTTCGCGGCACAGCGATATCGAGTCGAGAGCCGCGATCAGTACAGATAGCAAAGGCTTGCTTGCTTGCTTGCCATGCTGTACCGCAGTTTCCAAACTGACTTGCTTACCAGCCTGCCACTCTTTCAACAGCCCCTCGTTTCGGACCAAACTGCTCAATACTCCATCACCTTCCACTGATAAATAATTTATCCTGAAAAGCATCCAGGCTCATATTGCCAGAACAAGCTTCTTTATTTTCTGGCTTCACATCTCCTCGAGAACCTTCCAAATGATAAACCACGTCTTTTCCTGTATTAGACGTCTTTAGAAAGTAGGCTCTTGTAGTGCACTGACACGCCGCACAGAGAAACTTCTCACGCTGCTACCCGGTCATACCCGCTGCTGAACGGTGCCACAAACGCGCATACAGCGCCGTTCGCAAAGGCGTGCTACCATGCGCGCTATCATGCGCGCTACCATGCGCGCCACAATGCGCGCTGCCATGCGCGATGCTGCTGTGCTCGCCTTCCACGGCGTCGCAATCGCGGCGCTCCTGCTGTCCGCCACATGCGCATCGGCGACCGCGCATGGCCACTCGCTTTCCCCGCGCTCCCGTTCCGCGCGCGCGCTGAAGGCGCTGGAGGTGGAGCCTTCTCCGCCGCCCGAGTCGCACCGCGAATCACGGCGCGCGCTAAAAGCGGTGGAGGTGGAGTCGATAGCGGGGCCCGGCTGCGTGAACGCGTTTCCCGCGAAGCCGCTCTGCAAGTTCGTCGACAGCCTTGCGTCGCGCGTCATTCCCGTGCTGGACGGCGGCTCCGGCAAGACGCTGTCGATCGGTGTCTACCAGACGTACCAGGTGCGGCTTGGCGTTGGCACAAGTAGTGATTATTTTGCGCGAGTAGTTATAATCACGGTTCTTCGCGCTAACAGAAACGAAAATGTATTTCACATTTTCTCTCTTGTCATATGGATAATCGACACGTGGTCGGTTGAACGAGCCCACAGTTCAAAGACGGGCACCAGTGACAAAAAACTGTGACTGTAAGCGACTGTAACGAATGTCCTACGTGCCCCTGTGTGTGACTGTACGAGCAGAAATTTCATCGCGACCTGCCGCCGACGAAGATCTACGCGTACGGCATGAGCGAGAAGACCGCGTCGTACCCCGGCCCGACGATTGTGGCGAAAAAGGGGGTTACCACGCGGGTTACCTGGTGCAACCGGCTGCAGGACCGGCAGCACATGTTCACGCAGGACCACACTCTCATGAAAGGAATGCCCAAGCCGAAAAAGGGCGGCGTTCCCATCGGTGTGTGCACGCTGAGTCAACTCTGACGCGTTCCCATTGTCTGTCCTCCTGCCCACCTGCACGCCGGTTGAGTGCCTTCCTTCCTCGGTCGTCTACCTGACTGTCCACTTCTCTGCATGCCTTTCTGCCCGCTTGCGCGGCAATCTGCCCGCCCCTTCCTTCCCGCGTTCCTTTTTTCCTTCCTTCCCCCCGCCCCTCCCCCAGTGCCGCACCACCACGGCGGCGAGACGCACAGCTACTTCGACGGAAACCCACTCGCGTGGTTCACGCAGTTCGGCGAACACGGCCCCACCTTCTACTCCTCCCCCTCCTCCTCGTCACACTCTCCCAACACCTCTCACTACTACCCTTCCTCCTCCTCTTCCTCCTCTTCCTCCTCCTCTTCCTCCTCTTCCTCCCCCCTCTCCTCTTCCGCGTGCGCCACCTATGAATATCTGAACCAGCAACCCGCCGCCCTCACGTGGTATCACGACCACACACTCGCCTGGACGCGCCTCAACACTGTAGCGGGGATGGCGGGTTTCTATATCAAAACAGACCCTAACGGGGATGAGCGAAACATGAAGACGTGGCTACCCCCCTGGAAGCGCACCGTGCCGCTGGCGATCGCGGACCGCCTGTTCTTTAAGAACGGGTCGATTAATTTCCCGAACGTGGGCGTCGATCCGAAAGTGCATCCGAATTGGATTCCCGAGTACATAGGCGACACCATCGTCGTCAACGGCGTGGTTTGGCCATACCTGCGCGTGCGCCCCGCGGTGTACCGCTTCCTCCTCCTCGGCGCGGCCAACGCGCGCTTCTTCAACCTCCGCTTCCAGTGCGCCGCGCGCGGAGACTACCCCAACTTCGTCCCCCCGCTGCGCGGAAGCGTCATCAATTTCGCGCTCATAGGCAGCGACGGGGGATACCTCCAGCGCCCGGTCTATCTCTCCTCTCTGCTGCTTGCCCCCGGGGAAAGATACGATATTCTCGTGGACTTTGCCGCGGCGCAGCAGGGCGGCGCGTGCAGGGATGTGATTGTAACGAACGATGCTGCAGCGCCGTATCCCGGGGGCGAGGCGGTGGATGGGAACACGGGCGTGGTGATGCGGTTCGTGATCCTCGACCGTTCGCCCTTCAAGGCATCATCAATTCCCAGGAGAATAGTTGTAAGTATCCCAGGGGGGAAGCGGTGGATAGGAACACGGGCACCGGCAATCCCGAGGAGAATAGTTGTAAGTATCCCGGGGGGGAAGCGGTGGATGGGAACACGGGCGTGGTGATGCGGTTCGTGATCCTCGACCGTAGCCCCTTCAAGGCACCGACAGTTCCCAGGAGAATAGTTGTACGTTTTTCGCCTTTTCTCTTCCTCCTTGCCACTACCCCTGGTTCTTCTTGCTGCAAATTGTCTCTTTGAGATTGCTACAAGGTCCCACTCTCTCCTGCCCTTGCTTCCTCCCGCATGCTCGCTTTCACCCCTTGGCCACGTTTCCTAAAGCGGTTACCCACTCTTGGCCCCTTTTCCCCCTTGTCAACCACATCCCATCCAGCCTGTCCCCTCTATAGACTTCTCCAAGATCCACAGAGTGCGCTGGAAGAAGCTAGTGGAGACTGCCAATCCGATAAGTGGCATGCCAGAGCGAGTCACTATAGACGGGCTTCGTTATATGGACACAGCCACAGAAATCCCTGTACAAGGCACTAGCGAGATATGGCACATCATCAACCTCTCGGCCGACGCGCACCCTATTCACTTGCACTTGGTGCAATTCCGGGTCGTTTCGCGTCGCGCTTTCGACGCACAGGCATACCAGGCGAACAAGTGTTCCTTCACCAGTAAAAATCGCCCGTCTTGCTTTGTGGGACCGGAGATGAAGGCGCAGAAGCACGAGATTGGGTGGAAAGACACGGTGCCTGCACTTCCGGGTCAAGTACTCACATTCTGGGTCGGCTGGTATGGCCAGGTGAGCTGTTTGCCATGGGCAGATGGAAGGTGACAAGGGAGAGAGGAGAGGAGAGGATATAGCAGGAAAGAGTTCGGGTAAGTAGGGGGGGAGAAGGGCTTGATGGTGATCACACAGAGGCACAACACAAGTGTCACAGCCACACACATTCTGGGTCGGTTGGTATGGTCAGGTGAGCTACTTGCTGAGAAGAGATGGAAGATGCGAAGGGAGAGAGGATAGAGTGGGAAAGAGTTTGGGAGAGAAGGGGGAGAGAAGGGGGAGAGAGGGGTTTGATGGTGATGGGTGGCTACTACGAACACACTGAGGTGGAACACAAGTGTCACGGCCACACACCTCTCTCTTTATTGTACACTCAAATCCTGCTTCGTCCACCCTCGTACTCTCTCCTCGCGTGGTGCAATTTAACCCTTTTTCCTGCATTTCCACCTCTGTGTGCGCCCTTCCCTGCAATCGCGCAACAGGATGGCAAGCCATTTGAGTTTGATCCCACTACTGGGCCGGGATACGTGTGGCACTGCCACATACTCGACCATGAGGATAATGACATGATGCGTCCGTTGAAGATACGCAAGCAGTAATCGGTGTCTCTATACCTGATGTACGTCTTGACCACTCTTCTGGGGAGCAGCAATAACCATGGCAATGGAACTACGGTATTATGCATGCATGTGTAAATCTGCAGAATGAGCTAGTATTGGCAATCTAGCAATGCCTGGTGTACAAATGAGCGAATAAGTGACATCACATCATGATGATAGCTCGATAAGGCAGAAAAGTCGCAACTTTACACACAAGCAAAACTTAGCCCAGTCCGTCCATACTAGACCATCCAGTCAGATCCAATTGGTCAGTTTCTGTCAGAGGACCCATGAATGAGCAACCTAACTATAACCAACGATGAGTGCATCGTACTAACTTGCTGCTAATCAGCAATCCTGGTTAGCTACCCCACACGTTAAAGAAGCAGCCCACAGTTATGCCTAGTCGCGACTCACAACACCAGCTCGTTGAATGGTCGTCTACCAGCGACCTTTCAACACAACCATTCAGCACAACCATTCAGCACGATCACTCAGCTTTGCCATTCGGCACGATCTTGAACGGGCGCATCATGTCGTTATCCTCATGCTCCAGCATGTGGCAATGGTACACATACCCAGGCCCGACAGACGCGTCGAACTGAAGCGGCCTTCCGTTGTTATCCTTCCACCCTGTCCACAGCGTGAGCACCTGACCGGGATACGCGGGCGTTGTGTCCTTCCACCCTCTCTCGGTCGGATCGACGGGGATCCTGCCACTTGTCCAGCATGCAGGTTTGTTGTCCGATTTGCGGAACGAGCACCTGCCAGCCTGAAACGCCGCGACATCGAACGCGCGGCGAGCGATCGGACGGTGGTCAATCAAATGGATGTGGAACGGATGCGCGTCAGCCGAGAGGTTGATGATGTGCCAGATCTCGTTCGTGCCCTGCTTCGGAAAGTCCCTGACAGGGTTCATGAACCCCAGGTTGTCAATGGTGACGCGGATGGGTTGGTTCGTTTTCGGGTCCATTTCTTCGACCAGGCGGTGCCATCGAACCTTCTGAATGTCCCTGAAGTTGATCCTAGGAACATACTGCACGGGAAGAGCCAAGGGGGAGAAATGAGTAAGTTACGAAACAGGGAGAAGAAAGGAGGTTCGTAGTAAATGCTAATAAAGGAGGTCGCACTGGGAAAAGGGGGGCATTCTAAAAAAAAGAACCCGGCTTGTCAAATTCACTTACCGAAATCCGGCTTGGGATTTTAGGGGCGGGGAAACGTCCACGATTGGTGATCACGATGCGCATGACAAGCCCCGTGTCGCGGTCCGCAGCAATACCGCCCGGGTAAGGCGCACGGGCAGTATTTTGGAGAATGACGTCTTTGCATGACGACGGGAGGTTGGAGAAATCCACGAGAATGTCGTGGCGAGCGCCGGGGGTGAGGAGCAGCGAAGTCATGTACACGGGCTTTTCCTGGTAACCACCGTCGCTAGCGATCTGCGAGGAAAGACGAACAAAGAAAAAACCAATAACGAAACAGAAACTCGCCCTTCCAACATGAGAAGCAATCTGATTCTGGTTACGGCGTTGTTGACCGTAAAGTGTACCAATTTTCGTTAGAAAAGGTGGAAGCACATGTAAAATCTCACCTCGATCATCTCGAGAACCTTGCCCGTGAGAGGGGGTACGAAGTTGGGATAATCGCCGCGTTGCGCGCAAACAAATTGGAGGTTGTAGAAGCGCGCGTTCGACGCGCCCAGCACCTTAAAACGATAAAGCGCCGGGCGGACCTTGAGGTACGGCCAGACCTGCGCAACACGCGGACAGCATCGAACACCACGCGGCACAAATATTCATCGTGTCAGAAGCTGGGTTCTGTACTCACACCCTGGATACAGGCTATGCGAGCACGCGCACTCAAACGCTCGTTAAACTCACCACGCCGTTGACCATGTTGGTGTCACCGAGATACTCGGGAATCCAGTTGGGATGCACGTTCGGCACGATGCCCACGTTCGGATAATTGATCGACCCGTTGGCGAAAAACAGGCGATCCGCGATGGCGAGCGGAATCGTACGGGTGGCAGGCGGTAACCAGGTGAACTTGGACTCGACCTTGGGGTCCGTGATAATGTACAGCCCCGCCATGCCCGCCGCGACGTTCAGCCGCGTCATGCCCGCCATGTGGTCGTGGTACCACACGGTCGACGCCTCGTCGTTCACGTACTTGTAGTTGCTGGAGTAATAGGTCGGGCCTTTCTCGCCGTACTGCGTGAACCACGCGAGAGGGTGACCGTCGTAGAAGCTCTGCTGAGAGCCGCCGTGGCGATGCACCACTGCCATCGAAGGGGATCAATGCAATAAAAGGGGATTAGACGCATGGTGTGAAGGTGAGTTTTGTGACGTCTCAAAAGCCGTGGCGATGGACACTGCCGATAGAAGGGGATCATACGTGTGGCGTGAAAGCGAGTGTAGGCCGCAATGCCTGCTGGAGAGAAGGACGGACGGATTTTGCAACAAACTGTGACGTGGGACCGCTCTGTGACGTGGGACCGCTTTTATCTATGGGAATGCCGCGCTTCGGGAACTCATTACCCATGATGAGCGTGGGGTTGTTCAGTGAACATTTGCGTGTTTGATGAGTAGATGGTTCTGGTGACAAATGCGCTTATCGATCGGGATGCCCTTCATGTTGAGGGTACCCCATGATGAGCGTAAGGACTCGTCGGTGAACATGTGCGTGTTGTTTTGAGGTGAATCAAAGCCAACGGAAGGTCTTCTAGCCGTTGAGGGATTGCGCTTACCGATGGGAATGCCCTTCCTGGGAAGCTTGATGCCCATCATGACGGTGCGATCGACGGTGAACATGTGCGTGTTGTCGAGCAGATGGTTCTCCCACGTGACGGTCGTGTCGATGCCCACCTTGGCCACGATGGTGGGGCCGGGGTACGACGCCGTCTTCTGACTCGTGCCGTACGCGTACTGCTTCGTCGCTGGCAGATCGCGATGGAATTTCTGCCACACGCACGACGACGCGCGTCCGTTGTGAGGCACCGATTCCACGATAACACAGTGAACATTGAACATGTCGCGATAAACATTGAATCGGCAGCACGCCTTACCTGGTATATTTGGTATACGCCGATAGTGAGCCGCTTCGTGCCATCGAGAGTGGGGATGACACGCGAGGTCAGGCTGTCCACGAACTTGCAAAGTGACCTTCTCGGAAAGGCATTTACGCACTTCGGGCCAGCAGTTGACATAACCGTTACTTCCGCTCTAGCGGCGACATTGATGAGGCTCAAGACTACTAAGAGAACGTAAATCGATAGTCTTGGTTCAGCCATTGGGGCGTGTGTTGTGGAATGCTGCGCGGTAGGAGGTACACCTTAGTACATTCTCGTTCGAGTCGAGTGTGACGGTGGGTGGTAGGGAGAGTGGTATGCACGATAAGTGCATTGCCAGCACATGCCGCGGAGGTACGCGTACTGTAGCATCTTGACAGCTGACTGTGCTTGTGCCTTGTCGTGTTGTTGTTGGATGACGGGATGGGCAAGGAAATGCCTGCCAAATGAAGCGAGTCGCTTCGCTTTCGAGACCCCATAGCGGACCGGCGGCGCCGCGAGCCGCTCTTCCTATATCGAATTACAGGACCCGCAACGAATGGGCGCACGTCATTGGTGCACGTGGGCGCCAAGCACATGTAAATCTGGCTTCCACGGGTCACCAAACGTGCTTCGTTTGCATACGCAGAGCCCCCACAAGTCACAGCGTTTTATTGTTCGATGGGAACTTCAGTGTAGTATGGCACTTTAAAATGAGATGTGGCAAACATGAGGTGGGAGCCACAATGGTATCGTATAAGCTTTTCGTAAATGTATTACCGGTAATACATCTCAGGACAGAAGGCACACCCTACCCTTTAATCATATTCGCCCGATACCGATGACCCTCGGACATAACCCTGAGACACTCACCCCAGACATAAGTTCGAGGGCTAGAGGCATTGTCTAGTATGGCTTATTACTTAAGGGAAAGGATGCTGAATGAGACTCAGAGGAGTGAGCAACCTAACCAGCCTTGACCAGAGAATGTGTTCGCATTTCACCCTCTGCCTCCATTGTCCCTGTATGCAAAGCACGCAGCTTCACATCACACCACCAAGCCAGCAGTATCCGCCACACAGGGCAGTCAAATCAAGGTCGGCGCATATCCCCAGTTTAGAGGCGCCTCAAAAGTCGTCTCTTAATCCACACCACTGAGTCAGCAGTGTCAGCCACACAGCAGACCCATCCAAGGTGGGCACATACCCCAAGTCACACTCACATGCCACACTTCAACTACTTCTTGGCATGTCCAAACCCTTTAACAGGCAAAGCACACAACCCCACATTAGACCACCACGCCAGTGGTGTCAGCCACACAGGACAGCCCATCCAAGGTGGGCACATACCCCGGGTCACAGTCACACGACACGCTGCGGCCAACCCCAAACCAGCACGTGCCGTGCCCGCCGCACGGCGCCACGTCAGCGCCACAGAACGCCTGGCAAGTGGTGGTGGAAAGCTGGGTTTCGATCCTAGGAGCGAGAGCACATGCACTGGTGGCGGGATACTTGATGCAGTTGTACGCGAGGGAAGACTGGTAGAAGATGCCGTTGCGGGTCTGGTCCTTGGGGCAGAAGGGAGAGGCGCCGGCAACGATGGTGGCAGGGCCGTTGAAGTAGTTGTGGTGTATGTTGATCTGCCCCGCCGTTACTATGGTGGCGTTGAGGAAGCCAGACGGGAGTGGCCCGGAAAACTGGTTGTCGTGTAGGTTGCTGTGATGGTTGGGTTTGAAGGGTTGGCAGGTGGTGGGGTGGGAAGGGAAAGGGGGGGGGGGAGGGGGGGGGTTGTTGGAAGTAGTTGTGGTGAATGTTGATCTGCCCTGCTGTTACAATGGTGGAGTTGAAAAAGCCAGAGGGGAGAGGGCTGGAAAACTGGTTGTCATGCAAGTTTCTGTGGTGGTTGGGTTCGCAGGGTGGGTGAGGGGGGTGCGGAAGGTAGGTTGAGGAGAGTTTGAGGGGAGTGAGAAAGCATGTGGAGGGAGGCGGGAGGAGGAAAAAAGCAGGAATGCAGGGAAGGAGCCTATCAGGAGAAGCACAACAGGTGGTGATGGCAACGAGAACACCTTGTGGTTCGGAGCAGAGCACCTTGTGGTTCGGAGCAGAGCACCTTGTGGTTCGGAGCAGAGCACCTTGTGGTTCGGAGCAGAGCACCTTGTGGTTCGGAGCAGAGCACCTTGTGGTTCGGAGCAGAGCACCTTGTGGTTCGGAGCAGAGCACCTTGTGGTTCGGAGCAGAGCACCTTGTGGTTCGGAGCAGAGCACCTTGTGGTTCGGAGCAGAGCACCTTGTGGTTCGGAGCAGAGCACCTTGTGGTTCGGAGCAGAGCACCTTGTGGTTCGGAGCAGAGCACCTTGTGGTTCGGAGCAGAGCACCTTGTGGTTCGGAGCAGAGCACCTTGTGGTTCGGAGCAGAGCACCTTGTGGTTCGGAGCAGAGCATGTGTTCTTATGGTTCACCCACATGGGAATCATGTGTTGTGAACGAGGGTGAGTGAGAGAGGGGGCTTACAGCAGGTTGAGTTTGGGTAGAGTGAGAAGGCCAGCAGGGAAGCTGCCGCGGAAGCGGTTTCCTTCCAAATACCTGGAGGGTGGGAGTGAGGTTCATTTGTGGTAGTTGAGGTTTGCAAAGAGTGGGAGATTGTGACGAGAGTAGGGAGACATGTCTTGCAAGGACACATGAAAGAGCCTGGTACATACATTTTTTCATGTGGCAATGAAAAGATCGGGATTTGTGGTACGTGAAGTGAGAGAGCGGGATTGAAGCAAACAAAGTGTAAGGGCATGGGGGTTGGGGTAGGTGTGCATTGGGAAGCACCAGAAGTTGTTTGAACCACAGCAAAGAGAACCACCCACCCGGAACGAGAACCACCCGCCCGGAACGAGAACCACCCGCCCGGAACGAGAACCACCCGCCCGGAACGAGAACCACCCGCCCGGAACGAGAACCACCCGCCCGGAACGAGAACCACCCGCCCGGAACGAGAACCACCGCACAGCTGGGACGCACACATCAACACACACGCATTCAATTCAAGGGCTTACATCACGGTGAGTGCCTTGAGGTTGCTGATGCCCTGTGGGATGGAGCCGGTGAAGCGACAGTTGTCCATCAGACTGGCGGGAGGGAGGTGCGGGGAAGGGGAAGGGGATGGTGAAGGGAAAGGGGCGGGTGGGATGCAGCCCGTGAATTGACCTTTGTCCAGCAGACTCTTAAAAGGGAATAGGAAAGAAGTGTAAACAAAAGAAAGAGAGGCAGCGGAGCGAACTGGGGGAAATGAAGAGTTGCTGAACAAGGGGACAGGAGAGACAGGGACCGGGAAAAGGGGGTGGTGAAGGTGGGGAAAGTGGGACGATGAACCAGGAGTGAACCGGTACTAGTCAACAAGAGTGGGAAGATGAGGAGATGACGGAGAGGTGAGGGTGAACATGTGAAGGTGAACGAAGGCATGATTATTGCTTGGATAGAAGCGATGCAACGGTGGTGGTGAACAGCAGGTGAACGAGCAGCGGAGGTATGTAGACGGTATGGAGAGGAAGCAGTGGGGCCGCGATGGAGGCATGGCAAGGCAGGCAGGGGGTTTACATGCGGGAGAGGCGAGTGAGCTTGGAGATGGAGTCAGGTATGGTGCCGTTGAAGGCTGCAAACTCCATCACACTGTTGCAGTGGAAGGAAAAAGAGAAGAGTAGGGGGAAGGATGCGGGGGGGAAGGGGGGAGAGGGAAGAGGGAAATGGAGGAGGGGAGGGCGAGGGCGAATGAAATTGTAAAAGCTTTAGCATGCAACAGCATGTTTCTTAGGAGAGGACGAAGTGGGGTGGGATGATGAAAGGTAGGGGAAAGAAGCAAGAGGTTAAGGACACAAAAGGCAAAGTCGAGTGGGGAAAGTAGATCTGCATGTACATAATCTGTTCGCAACGGGATCAGTGGGACCTCACAAGTTGGTGAGGCTGACCATGTTGGCGAGGTCTGCACGTGTACGTGCATGTGCATGTGCATGTGGATGTGCATGTGCATGTGCATGTGCATGTGGATGTGCATGTGGATGTGCATGTGCATGTGCATGTGGATGTGCATGTGGATGTGCATGTGCATGTGCATGTGCATGTGCATGTGGATGTGCATGTGCATGTGCATGTGCATGTGGATGTGCATGTGCATGTGCATGTGCATGTGCATGTGTGTGTGGATGTGCATGTGCATGTGCATGTGCATGTGCATGTGCATGTGTGTGTGGATGTGCATGTGCATGTGTGTGTGGATGTGGATGTGCATGGGAATTTGCATGTGCATGTGCATGTGCATGTGCATGTGCATGTGCATGCGGATTTGCATGTGCATGTGCATGTGGATGTGGATGTGCATGCGGGTTTGCATGTGCATGTGCATGTGCATGCGGATTTGCATGTGCATGTGCATGTGGATGTGCATGCGGATTTGCATGTGCATGTGCATGTGCATGCGGATTTGCATGTGCATGTGCATGTGCATGTGGATGTGCATGCGGATTTGCATTTGCATGTGCATGTGCATTTGAATGTTGAGAGTACTCAAGAATCAACAGGAATTGCATTGCATCACAAAGGCACTCACAAGTCGGTGAGGCTGACCATGTTGCCCAGGTCCGATGGCAGAGGGCCGTCCAGATAGGGATTGCTGCTCATGAATCTGATGGGAGAGGAGGGAGAGGAGGGAGAACAGGTTTGGAGGAGGAAGACGTGGGTTGGAGGGACAGGGGAAGAGGAGAAATGGAAAGAAGTAGGAGGAGATGTGGGGAAAGCAGAAGGTAATGCTGGGTTATGCTGGAGGTGGGGCACGGCACGGGACGAAATGAGACGAGAGGGGGAACGGGTGTGTGGGGGCGGGGGGGAGAAGGGTTGATGGCGTTTATGCATGGGGAGGGTCAGGTAAGGGAGTTGGGAATGGGGAATGAGTGAGCGGATGGGAATGAAGCGCCTCAAAACGCAAGATTTTCACCAGAATGGAAGCTTACAGGATGCGCAGGTTGGTGAGCTTGGTGATGATGGGTGGGAGAGGGCCACTGAGACTGTTCTGATTGATGAACCTGCAGGCAGAGAGCAGGTGATGGATGCGGTAAGAGGTGTGGGTTGTGGTGCGCACAGTGGCAGCAAGGGCAGAGCGAAGGGAATGAGGGAATGAGAAAAAGGTAATTTATGAGAAGGGGGCTGACAGGTGAGCGGGCTGACAGGTGAGGGGGCTCACAGGTGAGGGGGCTGACAGGTGAGGGGGCTCACAGGTGAGGGGGCTCACAGGTGAGGGGGCTCACAGGTGAGGGGGCTCACAGGTGAGGGGGCTCACAGGTGAGGGGGCTCACAGGTTCTGCAGGGCAGGAAGGTCGCCGATGGTGGCTGGGAGACTGCCTGTGAGCTGATTGGTGTCGATGTACCTGATGGTGTGTGATGCAAGGGAGGGGAGAGGAGAGGGACACGCCAGGCTCAGCCACTCAGATGCATCGGTTGCCGAGCGAAGGAATGGACGGTGCACAGATATATGTGTACCGTCTCACGGGCCGTGTGGATAGCTGAATGGTACTTGATTAGAGGTATTGAATGGCAGAGACCGCAGCGCCCCCATGGAATCGAACGTGGCAGTGTAGGTGGTCATGGCGTTTGATGGGCGATGGGAAGTAACAAAATACAAGGAGGCTGCAAGCGAGCATACAGGCAATAGAGGTAGGAGAGCTGGCTGAGGCAGGAGTCGCTATTGAGAATTCTCGGAATTTGAATGGAGCGTACAGATAGTAGAGGTAGGAGAGCTGGCTGAGGCAGGAGGGTACGGATCCGGTGAAGTGGTTGTAGCTGAGGCGACTGGTGTGGCAAGGGGGGGCAGCGAAGTGCGAGGAGCAGGGAAGGTGAGATGGACGAGGGGAGAAACGAAGAAGAGGAAACGCAGTGGAGCTGGCTGAGGCAGGAGGGCACGGAGCCAGTGAAGTGGTTGTAGCTGAGGCGACTGGCGGGACAGGCGGGTGGAGAAAAGTGAAGGAAGAGGTAAGCAGGGAGGAAACGATGGAGCAGGTGGGAACTGCAGAAGAGGATAGGGACGGTCGCAGGGAAAAGTGATTAACGGGTACTATTACACTTGTTGGTGGTATTCATATCTCATATGTGTTACTCACAAGCTGTGGGTCACAGCAGACAGATGTGAGCAACAGAAGTGTGTCACTGAGAGCTCTAGGCACAAAGTGTTACATGTTGAACCTTGTAGTGCCACACTCACAGCTCTCTCAGATTCTTCATGGTGCAAACGACTGTGGGGAAGGAGGAGTTGAGCAGGTTGCTGGACACGTAGCTGTTGCAGAGGGAATGGAAGATAAGCGTGATGCGAGCACAGAATCGACCATAAGGTTTCATTCAAAGGGAAAAAAATTATGCGAGGAGGAGAGCACCTGGAGAAGAACATGGAAAAGAAGACCAAAGCCATCCAGGGAATCATGAGTGGATTGAAGCCCAGCGAAGGGGGCAAAGCAGACAATCCTTACCTGAAGCGGCTTGGTTCAGCAGCTTGACTAATAGTGACATGCCAACCTCACCACTGCTGCATGCGCTGTGCATTGACCTTTCAGCATGTTTGCAGAGTCACAGCTTCTTCAGTGGGGGGGTTCAGGCATGCTAGAAACGCACAATTTCTGCATGTTGGTCAGCTGCGAGAAGGTGTCGGGCAGCCCACCTGAAAAATAGTTGAGGTTGAGGTGCCTGCAGCAGGAAATCAGTGAGGGCAGAGCAGCAGAGGGCGGGGAGGGAAAGAGGAAGCGGAAAAGGGAGGTTGGTTTGTTGAGAGAAAGTGTGGATGATTGGAAGGAGGCGACGACAGAGGATGTGACAGCGAATGTGGTGTAGCTTGATTGTAGCGTCAGTAAAGGGCCATCACATGCAATAGGGAGTTTATGGCATAGTATGGCATGGCATGGCATGGCATGGCATGGCATGGCATGGCATGGCATTGCACGGCACGGCACCGCATCGTGTGATAGTGGGGGGCATGGTATGACATGGACTGGTGCAGCACATTACATGGCATGAGATAACGTGGAATAGAATAGCGTGATAAACAACAGCAAGGTGTGTCGTTCAAAAGCGTGGCTCACAGCTGCACGAGGTTCTTCATGTTGCCCCATGAATCCGGGATAGGACCCTCGAAGTAGTTCTTAAACAGCTGCCTGCAATGCGGTGATGGACCGAACAGGCCAGTGAGCCAAGGATTTAAAGACAGGATACACGCCAGGAATGGACAACGCCACAAAGACTGGAAAGGCGAGGAGGTTTGCAGAGAGGTGGTGTGCGTAGTCACGTGAGTACATATGTAGGGAGTGTGCGGACTGACAGGTTCCTGATGGCCGTGAGTCGACTGAATGAGTCCGGGAGAGGTCCCTTGAGCCAATTCGTGGTGGCAAAACTGGCGTTGGTGGAAAAGGAAGGAAGAACGGAGGGAAGTTAAAGGAAAAAGGTCGCGTCAGACAAGAGCCAATAGGCGTAGACGTGTTTATTGAATTGAGAAGATGGTGTTTCTTCACCCTTACCTCTCTTCCTGGTCACAACTCATCCCTGTCTCATCCGCAAAACCCCGCATCACTTTCAACACACCACTACGTTCTCCGAATGCCATCCCCCCAGCACCCTGCCTTCCCCTGCCTTCCGTTGCCTCCCATGTCACGCACAATTCATCGAGGCTGGTGAGGCTGCCGATGACGGAGGGCAGGTTGCCCTGGATGGCCTTGGAGCTGATGTCCATGCGGCGCACGAGCCCGTTGGTCCAGCACGTGATGAGCCACCACGAGGAGCAGGGGTTCGTCGCCGTCCACGACGTGAGGTTGATGTACGGCGTCAGTGCTGCTTTCAGCTCCATCATCGCCGGCACTTGGGGGGGGAACGTGGGGGGCAATGGCGGGGGGCGGGTGATTGGGAGGCGTGGCGGGTGGTTTGGGAGGAGGGGAATGAGAAGCTGTCACGTCTCACGACGTGAGGTTGATGTACGGCGTCAGCGCCGCCTTCAGCTCCATCATCGCCGGCACTGAAGGGAGGAGGGACGCGTGGGCGCCGGGAGCGGGGCAAGAGGGGTGAAGGAGAGGGGCAGGGGGGAGGTTGGGAGGATGGGATAATGAAGCTGTCTTCTCTCGACGTGAGGTTCATGTACGGTTCGAGGGCTGCCTTCAAGTCAATGTCACGGGGAAATGAAGGGAGATACGGTTTGCGCGAAGGTGATTCAGGGAAGGGAGGACAAGGGAAACTTTAGGAGGACCGAACTGGTATAGGGGAAATGCGTTTTTGAGGTGACTAAGAAGATTCACGACGAGAACCGGTTCGATAACACCTCAAGATGATGGCAAATGGAATCCTAACTGGTCTGAAGTCGAAGCACTAAGGTTTTGGGATGTGGAAATATGTGCAGAAGACTCTCAAAGCACCTCCAAGGTGACTGGCGACGAAATGTCCAGCACATTGCACAAGGACTAAGACGGCTGCGGCGTGGTGATGTGCAATGTGACGATAATGGGATGACGAGACGTGATGAGATGGTCACGCCCTGGGGATGGTGCAATGCGGACGTGTAACGCGGCGATGACGGGATGCTGTAATGTGACAGTGGTAAAGCGACCAGAAAGGTAGCAGTTTCAGATATTTCTGGCGCTTACTTTGCGAAGGGGCTACATAAATCACAGTCGTCTGGAGCTTGCGCGGGAGGGCAGCGGACGTCGTGGAAGCTGACATCAGTAGCGACAGGAGTAGTAGAACGAGAGACATAGCGGCTGCTTTCCCTGAAATCCGGACGACCAAGCTCATTGTGGTGATCAAGAAGCGAAATGGAGTTTGTGCTACACTTCACGACTCGACAATTCACGAGATTCTGGAATGGATGCTATATTTACGGCCAGATATAGCTTAGGGTGAGCTCATTAGCATTCAGTTGTGCAGTATGAATTTGTGCTGCTGCTGCTTGGCCTTGAACAAGAAACAGGAATCCGACAGGAGCAGGAAGGAGGGGAAAAGAGGAGGGGTGGTGGTGAGGGGTTGGGGGCGCAGCGGGCCGCGTGCTGGCTGGAACAGTTGGGGTAAGGTATGCATTGCGCTCCATCTGGCACTGGAATTGCACCCGCACGGCAAGGACTGACAATTCCTTCCTTCCAACCGAAGGGTGACAACAGGGGGCTTGGCAGAAGAGACGGAAGGGGGCGAGGGGAGGAGAAATGGAGGGAGGCTGCGATGGCGGTTCAGTTCGTTACGCGATTGGCGTGGAGGGAGGTGGATGTCTGGTGCTTGACTATCGATTGACTCTCGAGTGCACACATGAGGCTGTTTTTGTCTGTAACGGGACACCCTGATGATCTGGTGCCTCCCATTGTAACGGACAGATTGCTAAAGGCAGTGTAAATGCGCTGGTGTACCCTTTTGAAAGCTTCAATTTCCTGGATACAAAATCCTGTAAATCGTGTAAACTGGTTAATGAGAGGCTAGCTGGATTGCATAACTCAGGTGCTTGCGCACGGGGACAATGTCATGAATGATGCCACCAGTAAAAGAAATGTGATAGCAGTTCATGAAGAGGCTTGAGAGTTTCCTGAACTAACAAAGCTTGACAGGCTTGCAGGGATGGAAGGAAAATCAACAAAATGCTCCACCACACTGGTCGCCTCCAAAACCTAAATATCATATTCCGTTGAGGCAAAAGATACCTCCTCACCGTATTTGTTGACAAGTGCCTTGTAGGCATCAGCCTGGCCCTCGTCATAATCACCCATGGTGCCTGTAAGTACAATGTGAGTCAAAGTGAGTACTGAGGAATAAGAAAGAACGAGCGAGCATCAGGAAGCGGGAACGTATGAAGGAGGAGAGATCAGCACCTGGTTTCCACATGACGAAAATACTGGCTCCGACTTCTTTCTCCGCATTCAAGAACCGAACAGTGTAAGTGGGAAAGTCACCGCGCATGGACTTCCCTGTGATCAGCTTCGCACCGGAAACCGAGCTCAACAGCAGGTGAAAGTCCACATTCTCCTCTGACTTGATGACATTGGCATACTCGCCTTTGCCTGGAAGTGTGTGATAAAAAAGCCCACCTAAGGTTGTGACTGATTCAAGAACGCCCAATCCAGTGTTAACAATCAGCCGGACCTGCAGTGTTATGTGTGGATATACTTATATTAGCGAGGGATAAAGTGGAAAATGTGTACGAAAAAACGCACGCACCGTCACTAGACACTTGCCCTGCCGACGTTCTTCAAATCGCTTAAAAACTCCTTCAAGTTAGCTGTCGCTCCTGTGTCTGCATCGTAAGTGTCAGTTGAAGCAGTAGCCCTGACGACGACCAGCTTGGACTGACTTCTGACGGAAAGTTTGGTTGTCTTCGCCATTCCCATGAAGGGACTAGTCCTTAATCGTTGAGACCGAGCGACAGAAACAGCAAGAGAAGGAACCACAGCCGCCCATGATACAGTGGAGGCAGTGAGCGCCATGTTCAGTGGCTGGGTAAACTTGCTGTAATGAGAAACTGTGGCTCTCTCTGGTTTGAATTGAAATCCAACCTCTGCCTGATTTTGTGTCACGCGGCTCATGCCATGCCTGGCAAACAGCCAGCGCCGTCAGACCTAAAAAAATCACGAAGATCGTGATTTCGTTTTCCATAGTAACAGATTTCCAACTCTCGTCAAAGATTGTGAGGTGTCAACATTTCACAAGAACCAGCTTGGAAGGGGAAGGGAGAGATGGGGGGGTGGTTACCGCAATTTGGTTCGGATATCACAGAGCATCACTTTACCGAATCTACCTGGCAGGGCTACATTATCGCTAGCCTGCGTGGCCAGCGGTCGAGCCTGCTATCTTCTGCTGCCAAACCCGTCGTGGAAAGGTTAGCCACAAGATCATGCATACGTGGAGGGCATCTACTGAAAGTAGCTTCCTGTCCACCTCCATGCCCCCAACACGTGACTGGTCAGTGCTGCCTCACCCATCTCCTCTCCATCTCCACCATCTTCCCTTCCTATGCTGGCTCGTTCCAGAAGTCTCGATTTCTTGGGAGTCCAGAAGACAACTTCCTGCTAGATCTGAGAGCGTAGACTTTCCAGGCAGGTATTGCAAAGTAGACTCTACACACATCAGTCTGCACGCGCAATGGCTGCCGTTGCCCAGTCTGCCATTGCTGGCGCGATTTGCGCTCCCGCGGTCGCGTCGGTTGAGGTGTCTAGCAGGACCAGCATTGTCTCCTTCAATGGCCTGAAGGCGACCTCACTCCGCCAGTCTGTGAAGGCCTCCCTCTCGCAACGTGTCTCGTCTAAGCGCTCTGGTCGCGTTGTGTGCGAAGCCACCGGCACCGAAGGTTCGTTAGTAATATTTTAGGTCGTTTATTCACCTCGATTATGCTCACGTGTCCGTTGGCTAATTTCATTTTGTTTTCACCGTCTGCAGTCGCGGGCCCCGTGACCGATGCGACCTTCAAGAGCCTCGTCCTGGAGAGCAATGTTCCAGTTCTGATCGACTTCTGGGCTCCATGGTGCGGCCCTTGCAGAATGATTGCTCCTCTCATTGATGAGCTCGCGAAGGAGTATGATGGAAAGCTTAAGTGCTACAAGCTGAACACCGACGAGAGCCCCAACGTTGCTACAGAGTACGGCATCCGGAGCATTCCGACTGTGATGATCTTCAAAAAGGGGAAGAAGGTTGACACCGTGATTGGTGCTGTTCCTAAGTCTACCCTCACATCCACCATTGATAAGTACTTGTGAGCTCGCGAGCGTGAGGTCCTGCGTACTTATTTGTTCTGTGTAGTGGATGTTAAATTGTGAAATTTATTTTCCATATCTAGCAAAGCCCATGGTTGGTGGTGAGGGGTCAAGACTTGGGGCTATCAACCTCATCAAATCTGCTGCCTTACTCCTTGTGAGGTCTGGTACCTTACCGCACTGCAGAATTGCATGTGCCACTATTCTGAGATTTTACTACTATCTTCAACTACTGGCCTGACCGTCCTTGGCGGTACAGTATGGCTTTATTGGCACCATCCAAACAAATCAGACAATTGTCATGTCAATGAGGTTATTTTGGTTAAAATGCCCAAGTAAACGCCAGGCCCAAGAATATTCATGAATAAACCAATAGGCAGCAGAACCACAGCTGCCCCTTTATTCCAAATATACTGATTGGAAACAGTACAATCAAATGAACGTACAATGAGTAGGTAACAGCTAATTTCTGCACCAGCATTATCCGTACAACCACATCATGCTATGAGGAATATATTCCCTCCAGCACGAGAAAAAAGGCATGCCAGCAAAAAACAACGTAAATAGCGAAGGCTTGGAATTGCCAAGGCTTGAAGAGGGCTCGGGAAGGTTGAAGCTTGAGAGGCAGTGCGAGTGGTCATGGTCATCATCACGTGCTAGTCACCCGCCGGTTTATCCCGCGTCCATTTCCGGCGAAGGATTTGAAGTGTTCAGCCAACTTCGGGGAGGGGGGCCTCCTTCCACAGTTGGCGATGGACATTGCTGGCTCAGTGTAACTGCTGCTGCGAGCTGAAGTCACGATACCAGCCACAGGGGATGAATAGAAGCTCCTCTCTGCATGGTTACTGCTCCCTTCAACGTATCTGGCGACGCTGGGGAGGCCAAATTGCGAGTTCGGCGAATAAGCGGGCGACAGTCGCACGTTATCCGGGAGCGTCGCGGAGGTCAGGTCCGCAAAAGAGTGGGAGCGGCCTCGTATGTTGGAACGCGGCTTCATACCCGCGAATTGCTCCGCAATGTTGGCTTTTGGCGCTCGCGGGGGTTGTCCGGATAAAACAGCGCTAGACGACAACCGCCTCTGATGACGGGGATCCTTCGCGGTGAGTCCGTTAATCCCGCCGGAAAGTCGTTCGATTTGGTCGACTCGATCGACGCTGGTGATTCCCCGAGCGTACGAGCGCACCGCGGAAGACAAGCTTCCTTCAAAACCCGTCGCGATTGGCGTTGGAGACGCGGCGAAACGGAAGCTGAGTTGCGGTGAGTCGAGCTGGGCCATTGGTGATGAGGGGGAGAGACCGCCTCCGGTGGTTTGCGCGCTCGAAGTTGTCGGCGCGGGCGTCGGCGGAAGCATGAGGCCGAGAAGCAACCATTGCGCAGCATTCTCGTGGGAAGCGGGGGTGCTGTGGGGCCTCGGGGGTAATGATGGCATCTGCGGCCTTGCGGCGCATTCGACGGACGTTGCTGATGGAGATCGCGCTACAGAGGTGGTAGGAGCAGGAGGCATGAGTTTGGAGTAGCGCTGCACGGCGGATAAGATCGCCCAGGAGAGCTGACAAGCTGGCGGAAGGCACGCGCACGCCGCATTTGCGCTCGAAATCGCCATAGCCGGGAAAGGCTCAAGAGAAAGGTCGTGAAATTGAACGAGGTTGAGGCGTCTGCGGGATTGGGAGGATGGCCGCGTGGAAACTGATATGAAGACTGATGGGGGTCACTGGAGTTGATGAGAATGGGAATGAGGCATGCGATGAGAATTGTGACAGTGAATCGGCGACCTATTTGAAGTCGGTCAGTCCTACGTAGTGGACTGCTGTGGTGTGGTGGTGGAGGATCGCCTCGCCGCAATGGAGGGGGGGGAGGGGCGGGGGTAAGCCGAAAGTGAGGGAAAAACGTGCCCAGGTGTACTGTACACGAGACGAGAAAAGACGAAATGCAACGAGAGGAGACGATTGGGATGGGGTGGGGGAGGCGAAGCGGGCAGGTGAGATGATCCGAAGGGGAGGAAAGTGAGGAGAGGGGAGGAAGAGGAAGAGCAGAACGGGGTACTGTACGGTGGAGACCACAGAGAAGACCCTTGGCTGGAAGCGACAAATTGCATTGGCCAGGGCTCTCTTTTCATTTTAGGGCACTCTTCCAAATCAGGGTTCCCGTCGCTCGTTACCCGGCCAAGCCGAGTGGCGCGCGGCAAAATCAGGGTAGGGCAGGGTGTTTTTTACCCACACCTGATTTGTGGCAGGGTGATTTTTCCGAGGACCCTGTTTTGCCGCAAGTGTTGTGACAGTTTTACAGCTGTCTCTGCGAGTCTCAGCACTTAACATTTTTAACAGCAAAGTTGGAGTGTCAATCGGCCCTATAGGATCAGCACTGCTCTACATCTGTCTCTGTGAGCCTCAGTACTTGGTTTTTTCACGACACACATGCTGTTCAGAGGAACCGCCCATGGACATTTTGGCTAAGGGAGAATTTTCGTGAGCTGAATCCCAGGAACACGTACGCAATGAGGCCAGGTGTTTCTCTCAGGAACTCTCACCTGCAGGGTTAAAATCATGGCAAGCCTGCTGCAGCCGTATAAAATAAATAGGCACTCGGATTGTGGCCGGGTGACGTCCTGGGGGGACCCAGTTTTGGCAGGGTTGCACCAAAAAACCACCCTGTTTGGCAGGGCAAACAGGAAAAAACACCCTGAAAAAGAGAGCCTTGGCACACACCACACGGGGGAAATGAAGCAAATGCTCGTGTCAGCTGACTATTCTCACGTGCGACTATTTCCGTGATTGGTTATGTCGCACCGTAGCCAGCAAAGACCTTCGCCTGCCGTGTTCTTACAGGACTTGCGACTTCACGCGAAAACTTGACGAATGCTAGACACTGTAGCAAATGTGGATAAAGCATGCGACTGCAAGTTCCACGCGGGAAAAAATGGTGCGCTGGGCAGTCAATGTGCGAAGGTTGCATCCCACTGGCTGAACATAAATGAAACACGTCAACGCATGTGACGGAAACAGACCCCGGCAAACAGCCGCAAGTTTGTAGGGTTCTGTTTCACCAGGTTCCGCAGTCTCGCCTCATTACAATTTACATCATGTGAAGAGTGTATCGTACCCCGTAAACTGCATATACGGAAAGATACAAGAATTCTGTCCATCCCTCTAGCGGCAGAAGTCAGCAGGTCATAGTGGAGAGTGGAAGGAACTTCGGTTGTCAAGATGAACCAATCATCTTGGTTTAGTGTTACAGATGAGTGAACTTTTTCTGGGGTAAGGGGGAAGGAGGAGGGGAAGGGGGGAGGGGGTGGCTTTTTGGGCTTTTGGGTGAATTCAGGAGGCAATTCAGCCCCCTTTGACACTCTGATCCAATATAATTGTTGTTTCAGGCATCATGGCTGTCATACCCGCCGTTACTGCTCTAGTCACAGCAGCACAACTGTCACTTCGATGTTTGAGCGGTGCATACTCCTGACCATTCCTGTACTGCATCTCCCACCCGCACTGTAAGAAACCCTGTTCCTTGTCAGTCCATACCATCCCACTTATGAAAGTGGTTTGCCTGTAACCTGGCATGTTTTGTGTGGTTGGGCGCCCTGCACTTCCAGTTTCACCCCTGCATTGTGGTTTTTGTCTTTCTTCTCCTCACCCCGTCTCTTATACCCATCATGCCCTTCATGCAGCTCCACCTCACCTCACTCTCACTCAAGGCTTTGGCCTCTAGCAGCTATGTCCCCAGCATGACACAGCACAGGATCATCTCATGGCACAGCACCTGCAGAGGACTCTCTCTCCTGCTTGGGTTGGGTGCTTGCTTGTGCCCACGCACGCACCTTCAAGGCAGCTTACCCCACCCCACCTGTTCTATAACCGCAGGCCGACCGACCCCACCACAGCACAGCGCAACGCACCTAAGCACAGCCAAGCACAACGAATCACAATGAAGCACACCTAAGCATAGCCAAGAGCAGCTAAGGACCAGCAGCGGCCCATCTTGAGGTCTTCATGCGACACCCCATGTACTCTACCTCGCCCGCACATGTGCGACTTAAGAAGTGCCAGTGGGAAAACAATAGGACACGAAAGAATGGGGAGGAAAAATAACCGGGAGACTCTTACAAGCTGCAAAAGCCCACATCAACGGGACAGGGAAAGGGGACAGCAATGGGAAATGGAGAGGGGAGAAATGAAAGGGCACCATAAAAACAAGATACAAGAAGAGGGACAGACGAGCAACATGAGGGGAAGCATGAAGGGAAACGAGTAAGACATCAAAGCCTAGGGAAGAGAGAGAACTTCTGAAGAGAGAGCCAAACAGTATGAAGCAACCAGCACAGAGAAAGAACTCGGAAGCATTAGGGTAAGCTGTGCTCACCCTTCCATTGCTGCAGCCGCACCCACTGCAGTGGCCTTTGGTGCTGCCACCACTGCTGCAACCAGTGCTGCCACCACTGCTGCTGCTTCTGCAACCGCTGCTGCCCATACTGCTGGTGGTACTGGATAGCAGGACTTACCGCTCTGGTGAGGGAAGAGACGAGAGCAGAGAAGAGGAGAGGGCGGGAAAGGAGGGGGTTGAGAATTGAGCAGAGTAGCAACACAGCAGCAAAGACACACGCGCATTGTGGAAGAATGGTTAACAAGACTTACTGGCACATAGAAAGTAGGTAAGTGGTGAAGGGAGAAGTGGTGTACTACTTGATCTGACCCACCCACAACTTGGCGAGTGCTTGCCATCATCCCTGCGTTGCTGCAGCCACTGGTGATCCCTGAGTTGCTGCAGCCACTGGTGATCCCTGAGTTGCTGCAGCCACCGTCCCCTTGAGAGCTGGAGAGAGGGGGCGAAGGATGGCAAGGAAGGAAAGAAAGGAGCAAGGAAGGAGAGAAGCGAGTGGATGAGAGGGTGAGATTGTGCCAGAAGAGATGGCATGTGAGGAAGGAGAGAAGCGAGTGGATGAGAGGGTGAGATTGTGCCAGAAGAGGTGGCAGACGAAGAAGGCACGGAGACAACAAGCAACGCATGGT